TTGTGTAACTCAACATGAAATTGTTATTTTACTAATCCCTGCCAAATTGCTGAGCAGTAATTAAAATCAAACTGCATATGTTTTCGTATCATTTCTGACATTTACCCATATGTATCTTTAATTATTAATCAGCAAAATTCAATTAAGACAAAAGCAAATATGGTACGGACAATATTTAGTTTGTCCACTTTTAGTTTAGTATTAGAAGACATGGTAGGATCCAATGGTATTCCATGGTAATATTTTTCATTTTCGGTATTCGCTGGAAGCTCAAGCCATTGGGTTTACGTTTATGGTTATGTAATAGAAATAATATGAAATCACAGTGCATACTTATCTACAAACACCTTGTTCACTACCTGCGAACGTCCGTCCTCTGGTGAAAAATTTATAATAAATGATATCAAGACGTGGACATTACCTGGTTAGGCATACATTTGTTTATCATACGTCATATATTACCATAGTATATAATACATTATATATAAATATTAAAATAACGTTAAGCAGTCTCACGGTAAGTTGCGCAAAAATTTCCCGAGCTTTAAGAAGCGCTTAACAGAAATGACAGCACCGATAGTGTGAGACGGCCGTTTTGAAAATCAGAAGGCAAAAAATGACTAATTTCTTTGGGGCTGTATCTACACAAACATCAAATCAGCCCCAGATTTTGCAATTATAACTTTAGAAAGTGCGCATCATTTGATTTTCCTGAGTAAAAGCACACATCTTTGACTATCCAGTACTTCAACAGAAAACCAAAGCTTCAAAAAATGGACGAGGTTGAAATTCAGGAAAATACAATTAGTCTGCTGGTACAAATGGCAGGGATGTGTAGTACTGAATTCTTCTTTTTTTTTCAGACAAAATTCCTATTAGCTTAGTCACTAATTGACAAAACTCATGAGTATATATTTCTTCTTTTAAAAAGACTACCAAATATCAACAATAAATAGAGCAAAATGTTATTGAAAGAGTAGCTAGTTTTTGATAATAGAGATTTGACCATGGGCGCCCGCAGGAATTTTTTCTCAGGGGGGCGAGGGGTTGCGATCATCACCCTATGATAGTCAAAACTAAAATTTCATTCAGCTACAATTAGTATGATAGCTCAATTTTTCCGTCACTTTTATTTACATACGGTAATTACTATCTGGAGAAATCAAACTTGCGTAAGCCTCTTACACTTTCTGGCCTCCAAAGATACCGAATGGTGACGCTGCATTAGCGCCTAGATGATCCAAAAATAATATGGACTATATAAGAGGAGGTTCACTCCGTTGTTAAAATAGGTCCCATGGTCAAAAACTGTTTATCTTGTTTTATTACCACCAGACTTAAAGTATAGTCATGTTCATCAGCAGCTATTTTGCTTCTAGCGTTTTTTTTGTGTATGAAGAAACTTTTCCGAATAAAAGCATTGTTAGGAAGTATAGTATGCTGCATACAAGACAATTATATGTCATATACGTATATATATATACATATATCGATATGGGATATTTTGAAATATTACTAGGTTATAAGTTGTTATCTGCTGTCACATTTACCGAAGACTAGTGAAAAATACCACTCATGACTCCGAATTACTAAAATAATCATACACGAAGTTTAAAGTATTTCTATATTTTTAATGAAACCAGATTAGCAAGCATTTCAATTGATTTTACAAATAAAATTATATTGGAATCCTGAAACTTCAAGTAGATTTTGCCTGTAATGTTTTTAATATATCAGATAGCCAAGGAGATAAACAACCAGCTAAATAAAAAACACCTGCAGGTAGTTGACCACAGAACACAGTCGGAGTTGTTTTACGTGTAACACGGATTGGGTGATTTTGTATGACTAAGAACTGCTGTGTGAATGTCTGCAAAACAAAGCCAGGAAATGGGGTGCCGATATTTCGATGGTCCGATAACGACGGCAAGGCGAGTATTGTTATTCCAATATATTTGGAATTTGAGGTAATTTGTTTTTTATAGAGCAGCTCTGGTCCTAGTGTAATTTTTTGAGAACATCCTCCAACATGCTTGTATGATTCATGAGTGGGCAGTGCCAAAAAGAAGATATGAGACATAGATATTTATAGTTTTACTTCAAACGTCAATCAGCAATGTCAAAAAGTTCCAACATTTTTTCTATATTCTTCATGATATACCCAAAGGGTATGGATTCTTTGTTCCAACATCGACTGCAGAAAGTTTAGACATTAGACATTTTCATTAAACCTGTACGCTATAAATAACATATAGGTCAAGTCAGGTACAGAGAAATTACAAAATAATGTATATGAAAACAAGGGAACAAATTTACGATAAAATTGACAAAAATGTAAGTATAAACAAGAAAATACAAACTACAGAGGTTACATGCCCATCAGAGGGATATAGCAAGCTCAGTAAATTCATGGATTGTATAAGGAGTGTACTCAATTAGCAGTGATCGCAACTGACGACTAAAATTTCTGTAGTTTTTTATGTGGCGACTGGAAGATGACTGAAGAGGCGACATCCATCATTACAAGGAGACTTCATAAAGTAGGTGTGATTGAACTTCTCTAAGCATATTTCGTTTCTGTTTCTCGTTTCATAGGTATGGTATTGATATGGTATTTTTCTCCATTCCAGTGCATATGGGATAATACGAGGGGCAGTCTGTATATTTTGAGATGTGCATTAACTATACTAGTTAAAACCGGTAACAGTGCACTATTAGAAAGGGCAGTCCTTTATTAGTAAGTCGCCGCATTCAAGCGTCTTCCAGTACACGTGGTGAAAACAAATTTCAGAGGAAACATGGAGTTGTCTCGAGAGAGTTATCGCGCTATGATTTACCTTGAGCTTAAAGTCCGTTTAACTGAACATCAATGAATCGAACGGTTAAAACAGGCATTTGGTAATGAAGCTCCGTCCCGGGTAAGTGTGTTTCACTGGTATGCCGAATTTAAAAGAGGGCGTGTTTCATTGGTTGATGAAGAACGTAGTGGCAGGCCATGTTCTAGTGTGGCTCCAGAAAACATTGCTAAAGTTCAGCGGCTAATTGAAGATGCTCGCTGCACATATGCTACTATAGAGGCAACTCTTGGAGTACAATCCGCAACAATGCAGACCATTTTGCATGATCATATTTATTCTGGCTCTTCAAGAATTTGAAAAAAAAATCTGCGCGGTCGAAAATTTCCGTCCGAGAGGAAATCGATCAACCAATTAATCAATTTGTTGAAGGCAATCAAAAAACTGACTGGCTAGAAGCATTTCATTTGTGGAAGCTTAGGTTACAGAAGTACATTGATGCTGGAGGAGAATACCTTAAACATAAATAAACTAGTGTTCGAAAAATAGTTTTTAGTTTTCGTGTGTCTCAAAATATATAGCGTGACCCTCGTAGTTTGTAAAGATATATTGCTGTTGCATTGAAGATTTTTTTAAACATATCTCGATAGGAGTCTCATGATTAAGACTGAATATGAGACTCAGTATCTTTTTGACATTTGTTTGAGTCAACTACGAGAAGTTCCGTTTATCCTTTTTTTTTTCATTTTATTTTATAATCTTCTGTTCACTTTTCTTAACTCAAGTATAAATACGAAAATGAGAAATCTTTCGGGACATAAGAACGACGTTTGGAGAGTATGATTACTAACATTACCGCCCTTTATGTCCATTTTAAAACTTGTCGACATGAGTGTCTACTTCAAACGAGTAAAACAGTCCTTTTACAATACAAAACGTGGAAAAAATCTAGCAAAAATTGTTTTTTATCAATTTCTATCCCTCGTCAGGCTGGCACATCAATATTTTTGTGTCCTAAATAGAAATCTCGTTTCGTTCAGGAAACGACCACCTTTTTAGCCGCAATTCACCTGTAGTATGTCATATTTAAATGTCTGCCTTCTAACCTATCGAAACAGGCCGTCTTCCACCTCATAGAAGTATAATGCAGGCACGCATGGGGTAATACTGACTGATGCTACCACATTCAACAATATTTTTTCTTATCCGATCGCAGGTAACCCAACAACAAGTTTTTTCTTTTAATGTACATTTAGTAATACTATGAGTTATTCACGATACAGGGTACTTTATATTACCTTTTTTTAGTTCATTAAAGCTCATATGTCATTTCTTACGCGCTTGCGAGTCGTCTTGATGAACTTCAGAATGATCAAAGAAGCGATGATTTCGAATTTGTTGGCACTGATATTATTTATCAAGACAGTATGTGTATGGCACACATTGTGATGCAATAGTTACGGTAATTTAGAATTTTTTCTCAAAATTTTCGTCAATAACTAATGACAAGGTTTCACATATGGAACGTTTTCCATTTCATGTTAATCCCAGAGCGGATAGAATACCCATACATTCTAGACCTAAATCTTAAAATGACTTTCTATCTCAAAGTAATTCCGAATTTTGATCGGTTGCCAGGTAAATGTGCTAACATTGTATAAGAACTCTCATCTACTTTTTGATCATTCGCAGGTTTGTTCCAGTCAGGGCCGTAGCATAACCTAAATTAACACGTTAGGGGGCTTCCATGAACTATGAATATGTCCATTAAGGCTATATTGTAAACCTACAAACCTTTGTGGTTGAGATTACGAAAATAATTTTATCGTTTCGTCCCTATTACACATATATTTTTATACATATAACATTATTATTAGTATTAGTTACATCTACTATTGTTCTAACACTGGCTATGTATACTATATTATTATTATGGAAGTGCTTTGAGTTTTCATCAAGACCAACAATCAACTGAATGTATACTGTGCTCCCCACTTTGTTGCTAGACCGTCATTGAATACAGGACTTTAATCTTTTCAATGTTATATTAAACAACTTATACACAAAGTTATAGTCTTTCATAATCCCAAGGGATAATTCTACACTGTAGTGTTCCTTACTGGAGCAAAATGATAAGACTTTGATTAAGGAAAAAATTAAGTAAAACTTCAAGAATGTTTCTGAATATTGATACATGAAAGGAAAGAGGGAAAATAGTTAAATTCGTTAAAAACGTTATGAGTCTGTTGGTATAAAATTGTATCAAGACCAAACCATGGTTGTTACCAGTAAAATATATTTTATGTAAGAAATGAAACATAATATCAAGACATTCAAAAAGTCACTAACATTCAATTAGATTGAATTAATGGTGAAATTGATACATCTCTAGACATACATTTTAGAGCAAAAAATAAAATATATTTATGATAATATTCCAATTAAAATTACACACAAAATGTAACAGGTCAGAGTTCCTATACCTATGACATGTCAAAACTTCATAAATTAGGTTATGCCAGGCCATAATCGCAGCACACAAATAAAGCAAGCACAGGTTGCTCCTCGAACATTGAAAGATTAATTATCAAGTGAATTTCGGGACAAAATATACATATAAGACATATCAAACATGCCAGTGAATAAGATAAATTAAAATATTAAGAGTTAAAAAGCTTTCTGTAGTCATTTTCGTAAGTCTCCGTTACATTTTAAATTCTACTGCAGTGAACAGCTGATCAGCATCTGTTTTCCCACACATGGTCAAAAACTATTTATCTTGTTTTATTGCCATCTGACGTGAAATATAGTCATGATCATTAACAGCCGATTTTTTAAAAGAACCACTATAAATTTGGATGTCACTAAAGAAGTGACAATGTGAATGTACGCGTGTTGTTAATATTGTAGATACAAAAACACAATGCCAACTAGGGATGCAGCGAGTACTCGATTTGTACCCGGTACCCAATTACTCGGCCTATTTGATCGAGTACCCGGTTTTACCGAGTATCAAGATACTCGGTCTGAATGCAAGGCATAGAGCTTGTGTAAATCAGAGTATTGCAGAGGCAACGGGGAAAGTCCGAGCCTACATGCATTTTTCAAAAGCTCTCTGCTTAGCTTCAAATAAAAAAGAACGTAAGATAAATCTGACTTGGTCCGGTCACGACATCAAGTAGTGTTTGTTGTTAAAAAATGAAAAGCATATGAAAACTATATGATCGCAAACAGGAATGCCAAAATGTGGTGTCAATGTTAACTCAATAATTTAGTTAGTGAAATTTCACAGCGTCTTAAGTTTTATGTATAAACATTTACCTACTTTTTGTGAGTTCTAAACATTTAAGCAATAAAACCTCTGAAAATGCGGTTAACACAGTAACATACTCACAAAGAATGTCCAAGTCACATTTCAACATTTTTTTGTGCCTGATGCGTTAATTTGTTCAAAAGTAAATCAATATTGAGAATAAATAGGTCTTTTGAAAGGTCAAATATAATAGCGCAAATCATTCCACCGAGTACCCGACCTAGCATCCAGTATTCGATTTTAGTCGAGTACTGAGTCGTACTGAGTGCATCTCTAATGCTAATCAACAAGCCTATGAATGGCTACAGAAGGAGCGTTTGGTTTCTTTTTCTGGTTTTTCCTTTGAGTAGTTTTACATGGACAGTAATTCTTGTAAAAACTACGCTCGCAATTATGATGAAAATGTTTTATGTTGTTTTATATATTGAACATTTTCTCTACAACTTGTATTATACAGGGAATAAATATATTGCTGTAACTTCTGTAATACTGCTGCTTACTGCCATCATATTTTTAATGTACATGACGTTAACCACTGTACAAATACACATCAACGACAACTTTCTCCAGGTTCACAAAAATGATAATTGTTCGCGGATGCATCTGCACTAAAGACAGTATTCTGCATTGAATCTCGCGCAAGTCATAGAGAACATGTAAATTTTAATGGCGAAATTGTGTACTAGAGTTCTTTTAAGTATTTACTGACTACTGATTCTCATGAAAAGTTTTGGCGTAATAACTACATAACTTAGACAATAATTATTTTCCATGTAGGTGTAGAACGGCTAGAAAAATAGAATTATTATGAAAGCAACACTCACTGCATGTTGTTCTTTAAATCATCCCAAAATTCACCTTTCAAATCCACAGGACCACCCTGCATCCGCCATACGCTTGTCATATCTCCCGTTCGCCCCACGTTCACAGAACAACACCGGAAGAGGTAGAGCACGGCCCACTGTTGCATCATATCCACTGCCGTATCAGAACGGTTTAGTTGCCGCTCCGCACCGATAGCTAGCGCTTCTGCGTCAGAGGATTTTACCGCATCTGCGCCGCTGCGGCCGCCGCCGCTGCTACGTTAAGGTCCTCGCCCGAGGAGGACGCCGGCCCGTATCAGGATCGGCCTTCGTCCGGTCGACGGTCGGTACCCACTCGTAACAGGTTCATGAATTCCACTTCCAGCGTTTGGCGGGCCTGAAAAACCAATTGTTTCCTTCGTAAAGCAATTCATCTTCCTCTGAGAGATATAATAAGATTCGCTAAGTCCAACTGGCGTGACTTTCGGAAGCGCATTCATTTTACAACTAGCAATAGTACGAGCAATCTAATGGGAAAATATTCTGATTCGAAATTTTTGCATAATCGTATTCGAAAAGGGGCCCTTTTAACAGATGTTTCCAGGATCAAATTTGCCTCAAAAGTTTTTAAACCAATTCAATAAAATTTTTTAAGCTCCGGTCAAAATATGTTTAGAATTGATAGTTTTCGAGATATAGGCTATCCAATATTTGAAAATGCGAATTATGTCATTTTCGACCCCAAAAACATAATAAAAAAAATTTTAATCTGTATACGATTTTCGGATGAGCGCATCCATAATAGCGAGTATGTTTAGTAACCAACAACTTCAGAGAAAGGAAGAATGGGCGCGGGCAGGATTCGAACCCGCATCTCCTCCGTTCCGTGAAGCCGACCTAACCAATTAGTCTGAAGCACCAGCTGTCAACCAACTTTCAGGATCGAATGGTAGAGGAAAATTCAATTCGAGGCACGTCACTGTTCCTATGGTTTTTTAATCTGTTTAATGCCCCATCTGGCGGAGTTCAAGTAAAACAAACCGGATTGGTAAGGTATCCTAAGTCGCTTGCTAGTTGCACCATGCCACGCCTTCTGGGCACTTATAAAGGTGCCACCGTGCGAGGACAGTAACCTGTATACGATTTTTCAGATGCGAGCATCAGCAACAGCGAGTATGTTTAGTAAACAACAACTCTCAAGTTGTAGTAAGTGCCCACGAGACGGCGAAAGCGATTGGAGATACCTTATCAATCCGGTTTGTTTCACAGTGACGTGGGTATGACTGAATTTGCCTCTAACAGTCGTTCCTGAAAGTTAATTGACAGCTGGTGCTTTAGGGTCGTATCGTCAGTCCTTCCTACAATTGTAGGACGCCTTCATAGCCTGCTTGTTTTTTATAGTTTTCTACTGTTCGTGTCTGCGCTCTATTTTGTGGTTATGTTACAAATATCTATTTGCATCAAACTGTGCATGCTTTTGATTTATACCATCTGTTATATAGCCTGAAAGTTCCCATTCCAATTCAAAAGAAAACATAGCCTCACAATAGGAGAGCGCTGACGCTGACAGGAAACAAACAATTTAGGAATACCCCTGCCTTTCTGGAGAGAAACGACTATGAAAATCAACGAGGCCATAAAGGCGTCCTACAATAATTGTATGATGATATGATGAATTGTAGGATGTCTTTTTCAACAGTAAGAAATTGATATAAATCAAAAGCATGAACAACTTGATGCAAATAGTTATTTGTAGCATAACCTCAAAATAGAGCGCTGACACGGAATAGTAGAAAACTTAGAAAATCAAGGAGGTCAGAAAGGCGTCGTACAATTGTGAGAACGACTGACGATACGGCCCTTACACTAATTGGTTAGGTTCAGCTCCGAGGAACGGAGGAGATGGGCGTTCGAATACCGCCGGCGCCCATTTTTCCTTTCTCTCACATAGTTGTTTACTACAAAATTTTAATGTTGCCGATGTTCCTAAATATTCTTCAAACATTCACAAATCCCAAAACGTTTCAGGACGTATTGCTATTGTAAACCTTTGAATTTTAAATATTAATCGAGCATGCGCTCAATGGTTCTTTGCCGCGGCTGGCGGCCGCACCTACATGTTGCATATCTCTCGTACTCACGCAGATCATTAACTCTGCGCGCGCAACATTAAAATTTTCGTTTTTTCGTATTGTTTTTTGGGGCGAAAATGACATAGTTCGCACTTTTCAAATATTGTATCGTTTATATCTCGATTAGGAAAAAGGTCTGAAGTACCTTTTTTGTTCAGAATGTCATAAAACTAAATACACTTTGATCGGGATGAAAAAACAAATTTTGGGATTTGTATAAAAAACTTTTTTTTACAGTTTTGACGCAAATTTGGACCTGTCAACATACAGTTTCGTTAAAAGGGGCGCTTTTTTAATGAGATAATGCAAAAAACCGAATCAGAATGTTTTCCATTAGATGCGAAGACATTGTCCGGACTACAAGACGTTGCAACTTAATGGGGTATTCCGTGCTTTGATAAATATTGTCCTGTTTTTTTTTCGTCCGTATTCGAAATTCGTGGAATGGAAAGATAATTTAAAATCATAAGTATATCAGGATGAAGAAATTAGGCCAAAATAATCTCATTTTTACGCCCCAGACACCCATAGAATATAACAATACATTTCATGTCAAATTGTCAACGTACTTTTAAAATGGAAGTATTGAATAAAGAACAACTGGACACTATAACTTACCTGTGTATTCTGCGTCGGTATTTGTAACGCTAGTGCCATGCTATTCGCATCAAAACCTTCATGCAATGCAATCAACGCACCATGTACACCAGACTCTAATAAATTGTTACCGTATTCCTGAAACAAAAATTGTTTCATTAAACTAATATCCTTAACTTCTACAAGCACGATATTAACTGCACGGTTATTCCATGTTTACGTTTATAAGATCATAATGCTACTACTAGAGTGATCCATAACTCATACCACCGTCACGAACACGTATTGCCCTTTACAGGTTAAACGCATCAAGTGATCACTTCAATAGGTTTCATTTAGTAGTATTTCCTTATTAAAGCGAACAAGGCCTATATTTTTGAAATCGGTATAGGAAAAGATAGCGAATCCGTGTAACACGTTGTTACAGTGAGTTGAGAACTTACCTCGAAAAGCCTTTTGACATTTCGGACGAATGTCTTCACTTGAAGACAGTAAATAGTACGACAAAAAATAGGAACGATAGCTGAAGGGCAGATCTACAACATACCAAAAAATTACCCTAGTAAAAGCAACTGTTTTTCAGATATTGATTTTTTGGTCCCTTTTTTTTAATCTATCTTTTGTTGCTGTAATAAAAGTAACAGGATATCTGTTTTTGCAAAATATTCTGAGATAGTTGGTCTGCCATTTGAAATATGATTTTCGATAAATACAAGTAAACTTGACACACCAATTTCTTCTTCCTAAGTTTTATTTTAGAAAACTATTTTACTCACGTTTGGTATTCAGCAACGAAACAAAATTGTACTAGACTGGTACTGCAAAGTACTGCGATAAACTACCTGCTTAATCACCAACAAACGTTAGATCAAATGATGAAATTTTTCGAAAAAGACAAAAAAATTATTGTTTCAAAAACAGTGAAACTTTTACTAGGATGATTTTTTGGTATGTTGTAGATCTGTCTTTCGCCTATCTTCCCCATTTTTTTTTTTGTCATACTATTTACCGGACACTGGGCGTTTCAATGGGTAGTAATGTAGTGGAATTTTATAACAATAATTTTCATTAGATTGGAGTACCTGCTGGTGTATATCTAAGACATCGAAATACTAAGAAAAGATTCTGAGATACCTCGAAGTAACTCATGATACACAAAGGAAACGACAAGAATAGCTAGAAATATGTGTATTTTGTGGTTGCGATGCTTACATCGCCTATTGGATGGAGCATTTTTTTATGAATGTACGCAAAAAATAACTCAATAATAAATGAAAAATATGCTAGGACAAATCTGTCTAAGCATTTTATATCCCTCAGCCTGTATCTATAAATTCACGTAAACTTAATTTATAGTTCTCCTAAGACCCTCTCATGCAAACTGTTGGCAGCACCTAACTTTATGAATATGCTAAGCTAAAAGATTTTTTCACAACTATATAAAGGATATTCGTTTTAAGACCTATAAACTAAGTTCGCTGCAACAATATAGGTAGGCTAGAGCTTAGAAATATTTCTTTTATTCATAATGTCAGACCTACAGATTTTCCAGTATGGAGTACTTGTAAAGTGATTGTCGGAAGCTTCAAAAATAAGTTCAAATTTTAAATCGTGGGATAGTATCAACATTTTCATGAGAGTATAACGTGCAAAATACATTATTTATCCATAAAAATAGCTCAAATACATAATTGATAGGCAGCAACGGGCCAGAATGTGTGCATGTTGCATGCACATGTGTTCCCTCGCCAGAGTCCGTGTGGCGTCTCCCCTTTCCCCTCTTTTCCCTATAGCACCGCGGTACCCCATGGGCGTTTAGGCCTTAGGCACTCGTGGTAGTTGGAGTATAATGAAAAAAATTATGAAAGAAGTACTAGCGCAATCACGCTTACATGCATAATCAAGCTACGACAAGTGTGCAAAAATGTGAAATGTGGATAGCTAATCACGAATGGTTTAAAAAATACCAACTCGTATACGACTTCTATCACGAACGATGACTATTATTTGACAGTTCCAAGGAGATAGAAGTGAGATAAATTGACTAATGACGACCAACCGTTACCTGTCACGTGACAGTGCCACCACTCTGTCACTTTGACTTCTCCTATATATTCACTTAGGTTGTTTTAATGGATATCTAAACATAATCCTTTATCCAGTAATTCAGATGGATGTTTCCAATCTTAATAAGATACATTTACATATTTTGAGTACATTTCATTTGATGAAATTCGTTATTAGAAATTTTTCCATCTTACAGACTCATCATATAGATATCAGCATTTCGCACAAACTTGCCACAAGCTTGCTGCGGACAGAGGCATTTCGAGCCCCAACTTACCCAATTTTTTTGTTTATTTTGCTATTTCAGCTTTTATTTAATAGTTTACTCACTGAAATTGAATATTTCTGCAACCTAACCGCAACCTGGTGTTGTTAATTGCCATGAGTGTCAACCTATTGACTATATTCCTAAAATAAAGCTTACTTTCCTGATTTTACATGCCGATCAGTCGCTACTTATGAAATTGAAATCCATACATTTTTGGCGCGGATAAATAACAAATGTATTTCTTCCACCAACAGGCGATGTAAGCATAGTAACCACAAACTATTTCTAGCTATTCTTGTTGCTTCCTTGATGTATCGTGAATTATTTCGAGGTATCTAAAGTATTTCGTAGTATTTCAAATGTGTGTCTCAAAATACACCAGCAGGTACTTCAAGCTAATTAAAAGTACTAATATAAAATAAAGACATACGTCCGAAACGTCAAAAGAGTCTTCGTGATATCAACTCACTGTAACAACGTGTTATACGTGAGAAGCTGTCATTCGCTATCTTTTCATATACGAGTTTTATCACCGATTTCAAAAATACGGTACCAGTATCACATAAGCTGAAAATTAAATAATTGTAAACTTCGTATATAACTTAGCATTATAACACTTACTTTTAATCCTATTGCAGCTACCCATCGGATTAGGCGTTCATTACTCCATACTAATACATCGATTAAAGAGTTTTCACAGCTTTTCCTCCTCTCTTCTAATGCATTCCTATCGTAATTTAGTCTTTTTAAACATGATATGCCGTACTGCAAGCTCGTCCTGAAACATCCACATAATAAAGTAAGCAATCCTAAGCGAAATAAGATTTTACCAGTGAAGACAGGACAAAAGACTTTACAGGGTAAAATTCACGACTGCAAAATATCTACTATTTTTTATAAGTATGGAAATAATGATAAAACTGAACTACCCATCAATTTAACACAAGACTATTAACAAGAAAGTAGGTCCAAGATGTTATCAGCATTTTCTGCTGAGCAGATATTAAAATCGTTTTAGGAATCATCTTACTTGTGAAAGCCGTCAACCATTTTCAATTGTCTAAGGTCCTTTTTGTTAAGGTGGTCCAACATCCTGGCATCTACTAAACACTCCATGAAGGTAGATCTATACTGGGGTAACCCTAGGGATGGCAACCAGACGTTGCCGATCCATTCGTGGTTCATGTCGCCAAAGGCTAAGGTCGTACGCGAGGTCTTCGGAGCAGAAGGAGACGTTAGTGACACCATTTCTTGAATGGCCAGGCGTAGTTTTAACCGGTGCAGAGGGTTGCTTATTCCTGGAAAACAAATAATGTATGGGCATTTTTTCCTGAAAGGTTGGTATATACTCCAGGAATATACGCTCAAAAAGTCCCGTAGCTGGATGTTTTATGGAGTAGTTAAGATTACCGGCTGGCCAATGATGCACTTTTCTCCAAGAAAGTCAAATGAAAGGAATTTTCTTTTTCTTTCTTCAATAATGTCACGTGCATAGTAGAAAATATCCACCATTGCTATGACTTGCTCGAATTCCAGGTTGTGTGGGCATCCTGGTAAATTCATTATTAAGAATGCAGAAATTATGAGCATGATCATGGCTCGTAAGTAACTGTCGCTTTTCTTACTTGAGCTTTTGCTACTTCAGTCAAATGGATTTAAATCTACCTTGGAATGAAGTATTCCTAAGTAAATTGCATTGTTTTTTAATTCAATCAGAAGGAGTAGCTTTTCGACTGCCGACCAACTCCAGTTAGAAGTTACGTAATGCCTCGCCTTATTATGTACTCATTCAAAAGTATTTGAACATCATATACATATTTCCATTTAAAATCATAAAAAAAGCTATTCAGAAAGTATTTATTCTCCTGTATTTATTGAAACTCATCACCATGAAAATCAAGCATCACCGAAAGGTCATTAAAATAAAAATTCTGCTCACATTATTATGATATCTCATCATTAGCCATAATAGGAATTAATTTGCCTTCAGAATATCGTTATGTGTTTGTATAGGAATTCTTTCTCGGGATTTGTTTTATTCGATTATTTCATTTAACTCGTGTTGTTCGTAAACCCATAACACAGTTTTACTTCAGTTACATTGTCTCATTTGATAAACTAACCGCGCTTCAATACCTTATAGTTCAAGATTGTTTAACAAGCGTGTTTTCGTTTATATTTTTCTGGACAAAACGGGTAAAACTGAAGAATATTTTGAGGAGATAAAAGGAGTTATTAATGGTCTTCATACATCCCGCAAAAGTATTCGAGAAATGTCTAAACTTCAGAAGGTAGCCCTGTCATCTGTACCACATTATTAACAAATTTAAGGCTCGAGGCACAACATCCAATAGCCGTCGTTCAGAGAAACCCAGAGTTACAACTTCCACTGAGAATAGTGAAAAGTAAACGCAATAGATGCATGACTGTACCCGAAATAGCAGCGGATTGGATGTGGGCCGCAGTAAACCTGTACATGTGACTACAGTTAAGAAAAAGTTACTCGAACCTGGACTTAAGGGATGCATAGCAGTATCGAAACCACTCCTCAAAGCTACTAACACAAAAATGGGACTAAATTGGGCCAAACAACACCAAAATTGGACAGTTGCTGACTGGAAGAAGGTCTTCTGGAACGATTAAACGAAAATTGAAGTTCTTGGTTCCAAGAAAAGGGTATTTGTCTGCCGTCGGCCTAACGAGAGGGCATTAGAATCATCCACCGTTGCTTCAGTCAAGCGCGGTGGTGGCTCTGAGGAATATTGTGAAGGGGAAATACTGAATAAAGAAAGTTACCCCAAACACACATCCAAGTTTTTAAACAATTTTTGGAAGCAGAACAAGAACAAAATATTTTGAACCTCATGCAATGGCCTCCCCAATCCTGGGATTTGAATCCGATAGAGTTGCTGTGGGATTAACTGGTGTCCTACATCTCGAACACTAATCGAGAATATTACAAGACGAATGGCGAAAAATAACCCCATTCACTTTGGAAAAATTAGTTGCGCGTTTACCCATTATTTGCCAGGCTGTACATAAAAGTAAAGGAGGACATATTGATGAGACAAACATATGATTATTTTGATTATAAATACACAGATTTGTTTATGTTTTCTTTATAAACTTCCATCATTTTCCTTATTTTCTGGGTGCTCAAATACTTTTGAACGGTAGTGTATGTGTATTTCCCATTATTACTGTCAGATTGCGATTTTTTAAAAATCCATACTAAATACTAGCTATCTGTTAATTGCACAAGCTGTGTGTCTTGCCTTTGCATTGCTGGCCCTATCGTACCTTTTTCGGCTCAACGATAGCATATACCTCTCGTACATCGGAACGAATGACCAAATAGCACTAAACCTGTACATATGTCGGTTGTTGCGTTGACAAGCACATCTTGTTCATACAGTATAATACATATAGTATCTTATGTGCCTGAATCTCAGAAAGCCTTCTAGCGACATGTGGGCTGCAGTGGTTTAGGCAAATGTCAAAATGACTGTTGCGTCATTCCTCCCACAGCATAGTACCTAGTGTGAATTTGTGAGTAATAAGCATGTTCGGTGTATAATGTGTAATGTGTATAATTAAACAACACTACTCACCAATCTCCCGTTGTATCTCCGTATCGCTCAATGCGCTCATGATAGCCCCCGACTTGACGTTAGCCCTACACGCAGCCACGTACCACGCCGGCATCCCCACCCACAACTCCAACCATGCGACGATCGTTGGTCCGTTCCACAGCGCGAACGGCGTACCTGCTTTCATCGCTTCTGCCAGTAGTTCGTGTCTGTAATCACGCTCTCTTTTGTGAGCAACATAGTGGAAGGGGTTAGTACCGTACACGCACCTCTAGAAATTCAATTCGCTGTTTTGTTATTAAAAGTGGCATTAACTTTATCATCATTAAATATGCGATTATTACTTCCTTCAAAGATGCTTTTAGATCAGTAAGTAAAACATCATCTATTTTGAAACTACACACCAGTCCAGTGTAAACGCAGGAGTTCCTCCTCCAAGAGCATGTCCCGACCCGCAAAAACGTCAAAGGAATGTACCGGCTAGGAAATTTTGGAACTGGACATTGCTGCCTTGAGCAAAATAAAACGATATCATATGAATGATATATAGCAGGGATATCTAATGTAACTGAGTATATATAGGGTGGCAGATATGTAACTGACTGGTTTGTATCTCGAATATTTGTGAAATGAAATAAAATACGTGATTTTTTTTTATTTTAAAAATTATGTATGTCTTCTAAGTCTTCAATTTCACCTGTTTGTTCAAATTTCCGCACCAACTGACGAATCGTGTTGACGCTGGGCACATTATTTCGACCGAAATCTTCTCGCAGCTTTCAAATCGTTGCAACAATCGACAAACCTTCGCAATTCTCATTACCAACTGTCCAGTTCTGAAATTATCCTAGCTGTGTCTGCATCATAATTCATATAGTTAGTTGTTGGTATGAAAGGTTGTGGTATCATTAAATATAATACACCAAAGTGCCCTGAATATTGAAACTTGCCGCTTCAGAAACAGTTACGTTTGAAATATCAAAACTAATGTGCGCTAAAATAGCAGCGAAAACGTGGAAAAGAAACTGAAGAAAAGTATCCACTATACAAATTTCAAATATTGCCTGTCACGTGTTTGGCTCGTAAATTCTATTGAAGTTACCTCCTCCCTAAATTTGAAACATTTGGGGCTACCTAGGTCTTCTACTGTGTCCACGATGTAAACAAACCTAAGAAGCTTGGGACGGCAGCAGAAAAACGATCCGAATACACTTGCGAAATATCAGTAGAATATTGAATACACTCAACGCAAACTAAATTCAAATCGATAAGTTTGTTACATCTACTGAAATGTGAAAATTTCGATTTTTTCCATTCCATTTGTAAATAAACAGCCAGCTTAAACGACAGACCGCGCGGCATTTGATTTGGATGCTGAAGCACGTAGCAACTTATTACGCTCGATGCTGGGCCGGACTAGCCCATTCAAATTTGTTTGTAACTTATCTTTAAGGCCTTGGTATTCGCTGGGTGTGCGATGATAGCGCCACCTAGCTGTGATTGATACGTGTAACATACAATTAACGGTTATTAACGAAAATGACGAATGTTTAGTCTATTTGAGATGATGAACAATTTTAATTTAAAACTAAACGATCTCTTTTGATCTGACAAATGATGATAATGAAATATTTACATCTTTGCTTGGCGAATATACTTATGTTTAGGAAAAATTGATTACTGTTACATGAACTAACTATAAGAGAAAGTTCCAACTTTAAGGACACCCTGTATATATGAAGCTCATGTAAGACTACCAATAGAGTGTTGCAAGTATGAAGTTTATACAAGTTAATACCACTTCTGTAATTCCTAATGTACAATAATTTCCAATTTTCAATTTAATGCCAATTGGGCTGATATTGTCACAACTTTCGTTGGTTCTCGAGGTGGTGTTGATAAATAATTTAAGATGATATGTGATTTAAGTCAAACAAAGCCCAGTAAAGCTTCGCGTGTAAGCATTTTGTGTTGTTTGTGGTAAGCTTAGGTTTTATGGAGCCTCTAAACGGGCAATATTTTTACTACATTATATAACTGCAATAGAGTAGCCAGCATCAGACAATATTTTTATTATCGCCCGACTGTATTGATACATGTGTTTGACATTGCAGACCTATTTTCATATATTGATGTCAGATTGCTGGACTGTCGGAATCTCTTCTGATGGAAATTTCTGAAAAAGGTACATGCCTACACATTGTAGAAAATATTGATAAAATATAGCCGAGACATACATAGCTGATAGAGATATGCCATATGCTACAATATGCTCATTATAGCTGGGCTATAGTTGGCTATAGCCAAATATTGCAACAAAAATATTGCGCGTTTAGAAGATCCATTAGTTATACTGTGCTTAGATCGTGCCTGTCAATGGCAGGTGTTAGTTCTTTCCTGTGTCGTCTAGAATTTAAATTTGGAGATTTCTACATCGTTTCACCAAACACGGGATGACAACTCACATCTTGCGGCTAGTATTACTTAGTAAGGCCACATACTTATTGCAACTTTGGACACGAACTGAGATGCACACGTTTCCAATAGATAACTGCAGTTCACTTTCGCAGTGGTAGATTCTGGTAGTAGTTGATATAGTATTTCAATAGGTACTTCACTTCCATTGTTTGTCCTATCTTAAGGCCTAGACCATGTTGATAATTGCCAATAAGCATGAAATGGCGCTGTACACGGTTGGTCTTGTGCTGGTCGGACGAGGGGAAGGCAGCAGCATATTCCAAAATAGCTGAGTTTTCAGGGAGTGTTTTTAAGAATTATAAACAATTTTTTTTTTCAAGTAGAAACCTTTCTTAATTTGAGTTGAGTATTATGGTTTTGATAGATGTCCACGTATTCACACAATGCGTGTTGTACTGTGTTGAATGTGATAAATTTAAGACTTGAAAAAAAGTGTGTAACCTTAAATATTGTTACGTCCATTCAAAAGAAAATAATACTAGACTAATGCATGAATATGTTATGGAGGAATATTATGTATTTATTGTTATGAATTCCACAAATTCAATAAGTGGGAAATGTACGAAGCATCGCCAAGCCCATAGCAATAGAGTAAAAATTCGAAATTATGTTAGTACAGATTTTAGCAGATGTCTACAATCATAATCCAGATTGTAAGCAATAGATTGTAAGCTGCTTTGTGCACGCTTATCTACCATTAATATAATATCAAAATAGGTGTATGTTCAGTTTTTGAAATTAGTATGATCTACCTCAAAAACTAGTCCACCTTTTTAAATCTATTGCTTGCAATCCAAGCCTTGCTTATAAAATTGGTTCAATAAAGATGAGAGAATGCGTTTAGAAACCACAGCAGGTTGAGTGAATGGTATTTTGAATAAAAGTAATAAATATACCCACTTCTTCTTTTGTCTTCTATCAAAGTCTCCCTTCTGCCCCATCTTCCCTGATATGCTCATCGAATCACTTAGTTCCCCGTCCGGCAGTCCGCCGATGCTACTCTGACTCAAAGTAAGGTTGCTGTCAGTCACTTCTTTTCCTTTCACCTGAAATTTTGATATGATGTATTAAGCAGTTATCTGTATAACTCAGTCGATGATTTCTAAAACCACTTGAGACCTATTTTTTCCAGATTCTTCTTTTGCTTCCTTAAATGTAAACGAGTATTTTAGGCATAATCCACGTAAGTTAATACAATTGTTTCATTCACATGATACCGCATAATACATGTTCATTGCAAAAACAAAATAAGTCAAGGTTGTCAAAACAAAGTCACGGGCAAAGACAGTATCCACTTTGCCCTCTTGATTCCTATCAAAACGATACACTCAGACCTCCTCATCGGTATGACTGTGAAAGAACTATCAATATACGCTAAATATTTAGCATCGCTGTTCGTATAGATACTATAGAAATGGAATTGCAAGCACGTCTACCTTGCAAAATCGTTTTTTTGCTCGTGGCCTTTCCTGATTCCCGATTACTGAAGGAGGCTGAACGAATGTAGATACTTTTTCAAGGTGATCGATTCATTGTTTGGATGTAAAGCAGGAAATTCGATTTTTTTGGGGTGTTTGCTTTGCCCGAGTTTCCCCTATGCACTAGGAAGGTATTAAAATTTTCAATAACAAGCAATAAAAAATATGATTAATATTATTCTTTTGCTTAAATTTTATATCACCTAACATACTTCTTGCTAAAACAACATAAATCAAGAACAGTTTACAGGCTTTTCCCATTATTTCAACCTTTAAAAACTCAAATACCATATTAATCCTAAAAAGTCCTTTATAACTGTTTTTTGCCAGACTCATTTCCCAGAATAGTCATAAAATTAAATTAAATTAAAATCATGGAGATACATTTCAAAAAAATTGGGGTTAGGTAAATTATAAACCTGTTAACATTTCAGGGCCTTCATTATACCCCAACTATTTTCAGAACTTCGAGGAGTTGTAGGAGTGTTTTAAACTGCAGGCTGTATTTATTGGTAGGAGCATAATATTTCAAAGTATAATAGAACGCGATATCAAGTATTTTGCAAAGTTTTGAAACATGGGTTGGATTGTACAAACATGAAATATCGACACTTCGCGCTACATTCGGGCGACACTGACACATTCCTGAGCTGCTGTCTCGCGCACTTTCGATTTGAGATTTCCGTACTATAGCTGGGAATTATGCATAAAGAAACACATATGGTAAATACCCGCCAAGGATTGTTTTAATCAAATATGAGTTTTCTCAACCCAAAATGTGGAATTTTACTTTATTTAATAAGGCATCAGTGTGAAATTAGCTGTTATTGCTGAAAGTGTTTTTTGATTGTTTTGCATTCATTTCTCATTGCTCATAAATACAATCAGCAAACTTCAAATGCCCATGTACAACGGCCGCTTGGAGCGGTAGCATCGCATAAATATGGAAAAGTACAACCAGCAACCAGTAAACGAATGCTCAACAAGTCACGGTAATGGAACCAGGAGTGTAGACTTGATAAGCTCAGTTGACATTTTTATTCTAGCATTTTATATGTCATTCACTTTGTCAGCCGGCCATTGTACAGAAGAGAGTCTAATAAATGACAACATAGTAGCTGAACACTAACTGTATTAAGACTCCATTGTCTGGTCGCGAAATCAAAGCACATATGTCGTATCACCATGAAAGCTATATGATAAGTTTCAGGTGTTACATTAGTAGAGCAGTTTCGTGAAAAATACTTGACGAGGAATATCTGAATAATTGGACAGAATACCAGTAAACGTACCTTCTCTTTTTTACTGAAAAACCTTCCTAGTGATGACTTGATGCCCTTCTTCTTCTGCGCAGCCGCCGCCGCTGCTGCTGCGGCCGCAGCTGCTGAAACGTCTCTCGGGAGGCCGCCGGCGCCCATGCCCATGGCGCCCATCGCGTTCTTGTGCAAACTCTCCTGGCTGCTGTGACGAGAGGACAATGGTGATGGGGTCAGCCCGCCCTGATGCCTAAACACACTAAGTGCCGATCTACCGCTAAAGCTACACGTCTATCTCTATCGAGCTCTATAACTCAGTGGTCCCAAACTCATCTTTTGTTTACAAGTATTTAATCAACAGGATAAGGATTATTTGAAATTCTAGTGGTTTTATAGCGATTTCAGTGCAGCATATAGTGCACTATTGGCATATTCGACATTCGTGCTAAAACTAGTGCACTAGGCCATTACTGTTCGATTTTCATGCTACATGTATATCAGTACGTGCTTGCATTTTGTTATAGGAGTGGCTTTTTTCATCGTATCAAGCGAGATACTATTCGTGATTTCACGGCGAATACGTTTTCCGTTAAAAATGGAAGCAATGGATCCTAATGATTTTTGACTTTACTAGATCATACAAAATTTATGCTTTTGGTATATTTCATAATCGAGCTTGATATCCAAAATTTAATAAAAAAAACCGATGCAAAGTGGCGGAGTATGAAGCCATCAAAGATAGACAATCTTTCAGATTAATGAGCAAATAACTGAATGGCGAAACTAATCCAGTTTTACGGTGAGGCTGATATCGTTGCTCTTGATAACACGAAAGCGTTCGATTAGCGGTAGCATGCCGCTCTCTTATGCAAACTTCCGTCCTATGGCCTTTCAGAGAAGCTTTCCAGATGAGTGGCTGGTTTTCTCTCTAGCTGCAAGGTATCCATCGTAATTGACGGGCTCTCCTCTTCATACCACAACGTCAACGTGGGTGTTCCCCAGAGATCGATCTTGGCTCTGACATTGTTTCTCTTATATATCAACGACCTCCCTTTTTGCACGATCCATTCAATTCACAGCTAAGCAAGAATTCAGAGTGACAAGCCGATCTCTACCCGAGAGGTCGAGAAAAGAAGACTTCCTCTCTGACGAGACACTTGAAGGTTATTACAGCTTGGAAACGTAACAATCTTGTACAGTTTAATGCTTCCAAAACACAGTACGGTACCTTAAAGAATAAGAAGCGTTCTAGCGCTCATCCAGAGTCAATGGATGGCCGAGTTCTACCAAAGACAATTTCGGCTAGTCGGAGTCCAGATGACTTGATCGGCTACGAATACATCTCGCCAATAGCGGCAGCTGCTCCGAAAAAGCTAGGCTATTTGTTCAGGGCTAAGAATTATTTTTCTCCGTATGACCTCCTAACTTTACCAGGACCGGATAAGACCTAGCCTCGAGTACTGCTCACATGTTTGGGGTGCTGCCGCCACGAATACATTATCCATGCTCGATGCTGTTCAGAGAAGGGCTATCCGACTGATCTATGACCTCCTCAACGGACCCGGACCCGGACTCCTCCATAATGTCACCGTGCGACGTGCCTGCTAGACAGATCCACCTGACCTTGGCCTCGTATCATAACCGTATCAAACTTCGTGCATCCAGAACTCGTCAATACGACCGATCCTCCATGCCTACGGTATCGAGATTGTGGATCAATCTACAGTTTTCCTAACCTTAGGCAGTACAAAAATCGCACTGGCATTTAGGTTTCTGCCTGCGCATCTGCTTCGGTGTAAAAAAGTCCAATTGCGTATTATATCAACTCTCTTATTTTAAACTCTGGTTCCGGAAAAGAAGAGAGCAGCAAAACACATCGCCCGCTATTACAGGCGCGACCTCCTTTGAAATCGAAGTCGTAGCATGAGTATTCCACAGTATTGAAGAAAAGGCCGTACTTGCTCTGGCGTGCAACATATTCTGCTGCTCTCTTTTGTTTTGGTGCCCGACTATGGAAAGGCCTTTCCGAATATTTAACAAAACGTTGTGTCAAGTATCTTGTATATTTCAAAGTATTTTGCAAAGTACGGATCTCTAAGGTATCAAACCTGCTGCGAGAACCGTTTTACAATATCTTTCGTAGTTTTTATATACTATTTTCCATTTTAGTTGGACCATCATGTATTCATGTAAAAACATTTTGGTAGAAAATATTCTATCAAGCACAGTGTGTCCTATCGGTTTCGTAATAAAATATTCAAAGTGCTACTAAAAATCTAAATATACCTGAAAAATATTGTACGTAAAGAATATCAACAAATTTGACACTGGAAGACTGATTTTTGAGTTTCCCTTGTGTTTGAAAATAAACGGTTAAGGTTTTCCACGGATATCGTGGACATTCTCCTGTTTATTTACAAGAATGAGCAATAAGAATTGAGAAGAAAATCTGCCTCATTCGTGGTTTCTATGGCACTAAGTGATTTTTTCTGCTAGGCATCATTACCAAAGAGATCTGCAGGAATTTTAATATTAGATCTAGCTTTGTCAAACAGTCGGCCCGTTTGGGTCTAGCTGTCCAGATATCATGTCAGATAAACAGACAGAAAAAAAAAGGAAGAAAAAGGTAAATGTTCATGTTACAAAGGTTCCTTGGCATTGTTAACAAGAATTCAGGAATCTTTAAATTGATCAAAACATCCGATTTTGAGGTTTACAGTTAAAACATCCAATTCTGATTGGTACAAAAATTGTACGAATTGCAGAGAACTTGGAATTTCCCTTGATGATAAAGTTGCTATATCTACATATATATATATGCTATAGTATCTTGTGTCAATAATGTCGAGGTTTCTATGAATCTCACATTAAAGGCATTCTATGGGACGTTAGTAATGGCCTCGCATATGCGTTTTTGAGAAAAAAAAATACCACACCGCGCATACAAGTCATTGTCTAACATCCTTCTTGTATAGTCAAATCAAAGAGTAGTTTTATCAAAATAAGACGCTTTATCAAATGTCTTTTTAATCCTCCAGTCGGCTCCATCATAGTAGGGGAGCCGACTGCAAATGTTTGCGTACTGCGTCCTGATATGCAAGCTTGCCGGAGTTTGCTGTTTAGCATCAAAATACGCAAGATTTGATTGGTTTTTAACATGTCATAGCAGTACGCCATGTAACCAAAACTTTGCGGTCGGCAGTTATAATATTACCGGTTTACAAACAGAAAAACACCGATCTTTGATTAGACGATTCGCTCATAGATGGCTCAACATTCTGCCAAGGATCCGCGATATAAATGCTTAGAAAATGCTACATTTATAACTGAGCGCTAAATGGCGTTCGGTTCTTTTCACGGTTGTTGGTGGTTACGTCATACGAAATAAATCTCAAGGCCAGACTGTCTAGATAACTGGCAACTACGTCAAGTATAGCGACGATTAGACAAACAAGCACATTTAGGTTAGAAAAAAGTTGAATTTCAAGCTGACATTCCTCTTTCGTTACTAAACTACATCGTGTAGTATTCCGCTTAGAGCCCTAAAAGTTAAATAGCTATGTGATAACCTTCAGGTCTTGATAATAACTTCTGTTTAGATGACGTGGAGAGCATTTGCGAAAAAGTGTGATTTATAACTTTCTTGAATCAAAATATATTTCGCATGCTGCAAACGGATGAAAAATATCACCGCCAAAAATAAATGTCCCGACAAAAGTAAATTTGAACAAAAAATGCTTTCACTACGTGTGATGCACAATTAATTCGTGCAAAAATAATTATCTATTTGGCAACACAGCACTTCTCTCTGGCCACGCAAAAACAGTTCGTGTTTAGACGCCATCAGCTCTCTCTAATTTATTCGCCTTTTCTATCTGTCGTCTCTTGGAATAACTACTCTTGATAACTAGACACAACTTGGTGGCTATACATCTTTAAATTGCTTTTATTGATACCGACGGCTTATCAAAAATGCCAGAATGGCCCCGGTTGGTTTCTTGTAGTTGGGAACCACTGATCTATGTTCTATATACAGAGCAAACCTGTCATGCATGCATTTAATCCCTAGCGGCTGATACTCGAACACAATTTAGTTGGTTCCGATATGATTCTGATTCAGAAACTAATAACATGCACAGCTAGTTTCGAATATAATAATTCTTGCTAAATATTACAAGAGGTCCGCTAAAGTGTGCCATGATACTTTCAGCTTCGTACTATCAAATATTCATGAATTTTTCGTTCATTAGTAATTCTATTTGTATAGTTTTTATGAGTAACAACTCAAAGTAAAAGCCGCTAATGATTTTGAAGGTTGAGTTCAATAATGTTGTTCTTTACTACGTCATATTTATACCATCAGTGATTCAAAAAGTTATAATTGAGGGATATTGAACTCACCCTTAAGAATAGCAAAATGATAAGTAGTGCTCATGAAAATCGTAATATTTATTTTTTCATTATTATACATGGCAGATTTACGGATTCTACATTAAGCCTAAAAATCACTTTTAGACTGTTTTTTTTGTCTAGCAGTGTGGTTTTCCGGGAAATGAAATATTTTTACAGATATCTAAACGAAGTTCGTCAAACCAATTTGCTATGATCGTAGTACACAGTTCTATTTTACTTGCTCAACCTGTTGAAGTTAATGGCTGTATAGCAACTAATGTACGATTTTCATGAAAAACAGTGTGTACTTTTATTTTTTTCACATTCTTGGGTTATAATCTGAGATGGCATTACTTGGTTTTTGTTTTTATGTTATATTCATTAGTTTGTTTTCATAGCTGGCCTAAAGGATGTTTGTTATCCCTTGGAACGTGTATTGTGTCTCATTCGATAGCCCTGAAGAAAGCGAAAAATAAAGGCCAAAACGGTGAAAACTTAATAGCACCTATATATCCCAAGAATCCGAGGAAACTAAAAGCACATATCAGCATATCAGACACTGGGAGAAGAACCTATGTCTTTTGTATGAAAAATAGTAAACAGAAACACATAACAGCATTAATAACCTGTAAGACACTCCTGGAGGTATTCCACCTCCTCCCGTACGTCTAGCATGGAGAAGAAAGAAAGTGAGAATCTCAGTGGAAGAGAAAATGGAAAGAAAGAGTACTAGTGAACGATTGTAATTCTTTTGGTATCGCTATGAACCAAACGTGCACTTTGGAGTGTAGGTAGTACAAAGTGACCCTAAATTACAATCGTTTGATGGATACGATTTTAACTGTATCATACACTTCGTTCACTTCAATATATCAGTTACTCAACGTTATTAGTATGCAGTAGGTGAGCCCTAAGGTAACGATTTATTTTATCATAACTAAAGATTTTTTTAATTAAGTACAAGTCTAAAAGCGAGACATTTTAATCAAAACGCAGAAACTGAAAAGAAAACTGATCAATTACTGGAGGAATCAACAAAATTAGTAGAATTCATGGAAAGGAAAAAATATGTGGGAGATATGTTGTGGTCAGATGTGAGAAAAAATAAAGTTGAGTCATTGGTAGATAAATCAAAAGTAGCATTAAAACAGAAAATGTTGTAGACATAGGAATATCTGTTAATAAACTAAGACAAGCAAAACAAGGATGTTTAGTCATTCACGTAGACGACGAAAAATCATTAGCAAAATTGAACAATAGAGCGGAACTAACATTAGAAGAGTATGAAAGTAGCAGAACAATAAACCGAAAATAAATATAGTTGATGTTTGCGAGGCAAAATATTCCTGAAGAATTAAGAAGTAGTGATGTGAAAGTTATTCATAATTACAAGACTAGTGAAAGTAGAAACGAAGAATGTGGTATGACAATAGAACTCTATCTTATAAAGAAAATGAGTAAATACTTATTAGATATGAAAAACGGTCAATTTATTTATGATAGAATAGTGATAAATTCTACAATTTTTCTCGATTGGGACCTCTGGCTGAGAAGTGCAATGATGTTGTAGTAATTGCAAATATGCTAATAACGTATTAAAGATCCCAAATACTTCGATATCTATAATGTATCTAACGAAAACTGCCCAAGCTACTTAAATCAAATCGAAAAAAGAAAAAACATTTTGTGAAAAACAGCATTAGGAAGTATTAAGAATTTACTGACTTTATATTTTAAATCCAAATGATATGTGATTTTAATTATGTTCATGTTAATGTAATATTCTCATTATAAACACTCATTTTATTCTATCACCTTAGTCATTGCCTTTTTTTGCTAAAACTTTGTAGTCATAATCTAGTAGTCACAATTTAGTATAAGTTTTATATCTGCTATACTGTGTTCAATAACGTTGCCAAATGTGTAACCTCTTGACATGAACAATGTATATATTTACTTAAAGGAGTAAGATGCAACTGTATCAATCATGATCCGTGGTATAGTAATTAGTATGTCGATTACCAGCATCGACTTGAGATTTATTTTAACAGTTTTGGTGATTGTTGCATTGTTAGGACTTTATTTGCCTTAGATTTTAGTGATATCTCCATTATGGCTAAGGACTTCGACATACCTTCTGAGTTCCTCTTGACTGTGAGCCAATGCCTGTGCAACCCGTTCTAACCTCAAAGATCTCGCTGTCAACGGAGATGCACCGCCACCACTGCTGCTGTCACCCATGTGCATCTCTTCTCTTGACATTTCGGATGACAGTGGGGCCAACTGGAGCTGATTATTTCATTAAATATTAGGACTAGGAGAAGACGTCAAGATATAAAAAACAGACCAGTCCAAATAGACAGGAATTAAGGCATTCATTTTCATATACGTTAAGTATACATTTCAGCACTTGTTGAGGTCATTTAATTGGTAATATGTCTATTTTGACTGGATTGAAAACAATCTAACATGCAGCTAGTAAGTGAGAGGGAAATAACTAGTGTGGTGTGATGTGTGTCAAAGCCAACAACGTGGGGTTAGGCCTGCATCTAGAATGATAGCCGAAATATTAGGGCAAATAATCTGTGCTTCAAAATACTCACATTTGTTGTGATTTCAAACGTTAAATAGGCATTTATTAGAATCCGCATTATTTGAACTTATCATAGACTAGATGCAATTTTCACCTCGGTATGGATACATATGACTGATGGCTAGTTTATCAAATTGTATCAGCTAACTGACTTGATTTGAGAATAAATGCTTACAAGAAAGCAATACATCGTTAGCTTGGTCCGCAAGGCTATGATGTAACTTGTGTTTCGCATAAAATGTTAGCTGCCTGAAGTAAGTTGACCAAAAAGCAGCAATATAGTCGCAATTCATGAATGCAACTATCGATAACTTTGAAGCAGAATACTTTTTCTGTAAGTGTGATTGACTCTTAAGGCTGTCCCATGGTAACGTGACCGATAAAATGTTCTTTTTCATTGTCGACAGATATTTTTTAATAGAAAAGTCAGTCAAAATTGTATAAAAAAAACTGCATTTAAAGTTATAAAACATAATTGCGATACACTGCTGACAGGTCATCCTAATTAGAGTTTTTATAATTATTTTACATGAATCGTATTTTGACCATGGTTTTAAGAGACTACGTAAAGTGTTATAGGATCCGATCCTAGGATATACTGAGGTATCATGACCAAACCATTGAAAGTGACAGGACGGAAGCATGAATATGTATAAATGCCAGTCAGGGGAAATTATAAGGATTCTCAAATATAAACTTATTTCTTGACGTGCCTAATGTTGAAGTCAGATAGCTGTAATGATAAACCTGCCCGGCAGCAGATAGAGTGTGTTGAGATTGATATTCTTTGACAAACCTGACTAGACGGCAATGATTCCGACAAGGAGCCGGGACTGAAGGACGCGTGATATTGTTGCAAATGGGCCGGAGACATGCTAGCCGGAGCCTACAACATCACACACAGCATCGTTCAAGGACGTTTCCATTCTAACCAGTTGCGGGAAATGTTACGTGCCGCATTTGAAGCGTTATGCTCCCAGCACTTGTTCCGCAACATGATGCAAACTATTTTCAGTCTAGCATACACTTGCGGAACAAATTTTTCGTAATGGAAACGTACCTTTCACACACCAGACGCAATTTTTTTATTATCGTTAGGTTGTTCCTTTATGGTTGGCTTTATGTGAAACACAACATGACGTAGGTACTTGGGACATGACAAATATCTTGCTAATGTTGTAGTTGTGTTAGTCGAAATTAAGTGACATTTATATTTGCAACGATCTTACTTCCAAAACCTAGGAAGTATTGTAATCGAAACTGAGATATTAGGTGTTTTGAATGTTACATGACAACGGGGTGAAGGGCAAGTAAGAAAAAATAAACGAAATCGTTCTTTGACGTTTCAGAGGCTTTTGATCATTTTCAGGAAATTACGGGTTAAAAATCGGAATTTGGAGGTTGTAGAGAGTGGGGATGGGTTTATCTGATTTTTTTGGCGGCAGTATACTTATACTCGTACCTTCCAACCCCGGTAATTTTGCGCACCTATTAGTGCAAGGTGCGACAGAGAGGCCGGACGTTTTGGGGATGGGTAGTACTCTCCGTCCCCGTCTACCAAAGAGGTGGGGAGGGTGCCGTTTGACTCGTGAGATGCTAGCATTATTTTACCAGTTGTCGTTATGGACCCTTGGACGGTGGAGCACCGCGTTTTCGCAAATGATTGTTTCGTCCGAAATAATGAGTCAGTCATCGTCGTACAGCGTGAGTTTCGTCGCCACTTCAACATTCATCGGACTAGAGCTGTTCCCTCTCGAAACACCATCCTTCGTAGGGCTGAATCACTTCGCAGGCGTGGTGAACTGATCAACAGAAGACCAAGAGGAGCGCCGCGAACAGTTCGAACTCCTGAAAATGTTGAACGCGTTCGACAGGTCTTTCTTCGCAGTCCGACTCGATCTGCCCGGAAACATGCTGCTGCACTTCGCCTTAGTGATCGTTCGGTAAGGCGAATTTTGCATATGGATCTCCGCTTTCACCCCTACAAATTGGCCATTGTGCAACAGTTACAGCCCGGAGATTATGCACAACGAATGAACTTCGCACGTAAGATGGAAGCACTGATTGATCAAAATGAGAACCTCATTTTGTTTATGAGTGACGAAGCCCACTTTCACAAGCCAGAAACCCCGAACTCTGGACGAATTGAAGGGCGAAATTCGCGTGGAAGTCGCCCAAGTTCAGAGAGCGATGTTGGAGAGAGTCTACGCGAACTTCCAAGAACGCCTCCAGCATTGCATCAACGATTTCGGCCACCACATGCCTGACGTGATTTTCCACACTTGACTGTCTTAAATGCTATTTCCTTGTGAACCTGATTCCACCAATAAATTTGTTTTCGAGTAAAAATTAACTATTTTATGATTTTTTCAAAACCGTCTATCCTCTCTGCCGCACCCTGTATATATTTCACATATCATAGGTTTCTCGGTAAATTTGACCTTAAAACTCGGAGAAATATTTACAAACGTGACACGCGGTCGGTCGTGAAGATGGAACCTTTACACGCGAGACTCTGTATGCGCCTGACTTCATCGGCGGCGTCCATGGTTTAAAAATATAGGATCGTGACTGGCGTTTATGTCATGGTTGACTGTTATGGTTCAGCACCGGCGCTAGATGGTCGATACTTAGGGTAGAGTAGAATCTAGTGTTACCTTTATCAAATTATTGGGGACTATGGAGTATAGACGTAATTATATAGGTGTTTTTTTTTTTGGTTATACATGTCTGTAGCTAACAGAGGGATCAGTTGTGCCGAATGTTATCCTTTACTTGACTACTAGAATTAGGCATCACAACTGCGCGCAAATGGAAAAAAATGGCGTCAAATAAGTCGATTATGTACTTCCCACGCAATGCTGTCTTCAGTTCGTAAATAATTCGTGAATAATTAAGGGTAAATGTACGGGGACACCTACCATGAGTGAAATATGGCTTATAAATGCCTAGAATTACTGCGGGTGGAGGAGTATAAATATACCAACGTTGGAAAATTGAGATATAGCCTCCCCCACCTTCTGCAACCCCTAACCCCCAATTTTAATTCCCTACAAAAGTTATTCTAAAATTTATCAGGATCCTCTGAAACGCGATTTTCATTTTTTCGTTTTTGCTCTTTTTCTCCGCCGCCACTGGACCGATTTGCAAAAACTACAAAGCTCTTTCGTCTTTAGCAAAGTATAGTAGTAACCTTATATCAAAATTTCATCCAAATCCGAACGGTACTTTCCCCCAATTTTAATTCCCTACAAAAGTTATTCTAAAATTTATCAGGATCCTCTGAAACGCGATTTTCATTTTTTCGTTTTTGCTCTTTTTCTCCGCCGCCACTGGACCGATTTGCAAAAACTACAAAGCTCTTTCGTCTTTAGCAAAGTATAGTAGTAACCTTATATCAAAATTTCATCCAAATCCGAACGGTACTTTCCAGGTTATATACGGGCCAATGACAGACAGACAGGCCGATGGAAATGAGTGACATGGTTTTTCGAGATGTACATGTCATATAACATCCAAAAAACACAATGCCATTTTCGAAATTTTTGCGATTACAATACTTCCTCGCCAGTTGTCGAAAAGCCGAACTTTGCAGAAAAAAGCTATCGAGTTGAAAGGTGGAGCTTTCTTAATGAACTCCTAGATACAAAAATATAGATCGTGGAAAATTTTCGGGTGTTCTGTTCTGATGATAATAACTAAAATATCTCTGCTTTCGTAAATGTTTAGAGATTATTTAAATCAATAAGATAGATCCACACTGTTGATGTGTTGAAAAATATCGTTAGTATATTTCATAGAGTTTAATTGTATAGTAAGTTTTTAAAAGATAGAATTCACCTTTTTTGAGTTAAGCCCAACACCTGTTTTGTCATGATCCAACCACATACTAACCAGAACAATAAGTGCAAAAAAGAGTTAATGAGTGCATGCTAAAAAATCGAAAACCGTAAGGATTTGGCACAATCAAATTAAATTGATTTAGCATTTGTACATTTGTGTCCAGCAAAATTTTATATGTTGTTAAAAAGCCTTACAGTATCAGGAAAAACTATTATGGCCATCTAAAATATGGTCTACCATTTTAAATGCAGATCAATAGAATTAGTTTTGAATTTTGCAACTACAGAATCAGGATGTATCACTGCATCATTGCTTTCATGTCCTGATAAATTGACAGATTGCAATAAATTAAAAAAAAAGAAACAGGTCAAGGCTAAGTATTCAAACTAAAACCGAAAGTTAGTTAACTAACCATTAAAAAAGTATAGGTATATATGTACGTGAATGTACAACAAATTTAAGCATGAATGTTGAATTTACGAGTGTGTGTCTCTGTAAGCATACTACCAGTTAGGTAGAGGCAGCTGCTACAGATCACAACTTATACATCTTCACACGGCAGTGACCATAGTAGTTTGTTAAACAACGATTAGATAAGAAAACAATCTTGCACGAAATCCCATGGGAACATATACTAGAATACTTATAAATGCTCTCACCGTATGATACTTGTGCAGATAGTCCCTTTGCGGAGAATGATGTGATTTTGGCGTCGATCTTCCACTTACAGGCGGACTTTGTCTCTCCAGACTTCTGCCTCTTGCTAGCAGGTTCATATGCTCCATACTACCCACCTGTCATAAGGAACAATACATGTGGTCTCGAAGAAACGGTGAACAGTAAAATTAGGAATATCAGTAACTCAATTAAGTTGATCGTAAAACATTTACAATCTATAGCCTGACAGCTAACGTCAACGGATACTTCTTCGAAAAGTGAAAACAGCAGTTTTACTCAACAGAAGGATGAACGAGCTAAAGTGTGAAGCAACAACCTAGCGAGTTGGTTTATCAGGCTTAGAAAGTGGTGGTAAAAAGTTTAAGTTGAAACTAACAAATGCTTCTATAAGGTATACTCACTCTTGATTCTAGTTCTTCTGCCCTTGCTTCTGTGTTCTGTTTTTCTTCTTGGATGAGCCTGATCTCATTATTGATGGCATCCAGTTGTTCTTGAAGCATCATTGCCAATGTTTGAGCATCGGTATGTCCACTTGGCGAAAGGATATCCTGAGTACTGAAGATGCTCTCATTGTCATCTCCTATGTAAATACATAACATGAATAACATTAAATATACAAGGTACCTCAAAATAGAGGGTGTTCAGAAAGTAAGGTTTGCAGAAACAGCTTCGTTTGAAAGAACAAAGTTAATGTGCGGTGAAATAGCTGCGAACAAAACAAAAACATCAAGTTGTTTTTAAATACTGTTAGAATATGTTGCTGTTCAATTCAAAAACCAAAGTTTATTAATTTCCACCTAATTTGTTTTTGTAAAATGTAACATTCTTTTCTGTCTATGTCTTCCAATTGCCCACCTTGACGTTTCTACAAACCGCCTTTCTAGGAAATAAACAAATATACGTGACCCAAGATATAAACGTCCAGGAAAACGAGCACTCGCGAAGTAATTAGCTATTGCAATATGAATATGAAATTATCGTTTTTTTTTCAAATCAAATTTATAAACAAACAGCCCGGTTTACCTAAAGGTCTCGCGGCGCCGTCGTATTTTTTGCAATGCCTAATTTGATATCGTACGTTTTTTCGGAAACTATTAAACCTTTGGTGTATGTGTAATACCCTCTCCAGACTCACGCGCGAATAAAGGCGGTGCGAATCCCAAAAACTCCTCTGCAGTTCCACAGTCGCAGATGTTCCAGCCTGCTCTTGACGAGTATGGACGGTGAAATTGTTACTGCAGCTGCGGGCTAACTTTGTGATTTGGGAATTTATAATTACGCAGATATAAGTAAAACTAAAACAACTAAAAAGGAGTGGAACAAACGCAACCACTTCCGGCACTCGCTATGAGGTAACTGAGCTACCAGCGACATGAAGCCGTGAAGAATACGCGAATGGGAACCACACTCATGGGTCGCGGGTTGTTTGCAGCTTCGCGCGCGATCCGCACATGAGTCTGGAGAGGGCTTTACTAATACATGTTTTATAGTCATCAAGAGCAAGAAAATGTTGAAAAGGCGCATGCGCACTAACAAAACAGCTGATTCTTCATGCCGTTTTCTTGTAGCTGCCGGAGTTTTGCATGAAAATTGGATCTTTCATGCAAATTTGTCTGCAATTCTGGTGGAATTCTTAATACCTTACAAGTTACCAACGCATGCAAATGTCCGTAGGCCGGCCCCGTGGTTTGTGTGGTTATATTTAATTGTTTAGAGATATTTAGAATTATTGTGTTTTGATGGTAAATGGTCGGCGATTGATCCGCGTTTTGGACATTGAAACCATGTGTTCTGAAGGGTAAAAAACCAAAACGAAAATTGTAGGGTAGGAATGTGACACGAACTATTTTATTCATCTAGGTAGGCTAACCTTGCTCGCTTGAATCGAGCAAACATGGCCATCTTGCAACGCTATTTTTACATGAAATATAAATATGTTGTATAAAGGAGAGCACAAACTTTAAGAACACCCTATAGGAAGTCTCTCGAATTCTTGTTTAATCCCAAGAAAGATGTTGCTGATAGAGTATAATATGAATGAAAAGTAAATGATTGAAATATTTTAAGAGCAAATTAAAATCACTAAAGCCTATTATTCGTGTACCTTCGGCATCGCTGGACACATCAAACGCCTGCTGTACATTAGCAAGAACGTGCGCCTGTTGCAACTTTTCCCACTCATGTTCGGCCATCGATCTGGATGTAAAGGGCATTTTGGCTTCTTCTTCGATAGGCGTCCGACTTTTATTACCACCGGGCCCTTGAGCGCCTGCCCCTCTCCGTGGTAACGAATGAGTATCGAAGCTGGAGTGGCTGGCACTGCGGGAGAAGTTCGAGGGGTCTACTGCGTTAGGGGATAAAGATCTGTCGAGTACAAAATATCATGTCAAAACCATAAAGATTCTTGATAAACTACAGTATGTTACATCAAGTTCTAAAAGATCGCCCTGTAGACCGGAAAAAGACAAGTCAGATTTTTGCTTCTTAAAAATTTTGAGAATTTGCTTAGAGAAAAGGCGAATATAAGATGGAACGCCGTCCGAGGGGCCACCAGGCGACCCCTCCATCACAGCGAGTGGAGAAGAAGTAAAAAGCGACGTACCTGAGAGATTGAAGAATACGAACCCTAGTGAGGCTTTGGCAGCTGCAGATATTGAAAGAGACACCGAAAGGCAGAGGCTGTACCAAATCATCGCTGACCAGGCAGCTCAAATCAAGAGACTCACGCACTGCGTGGACAATCTCAATACCCAGATTTTTAGCTTTAGTACTTCTTTAAATAAATTCATGTCCTGTGATGACAGTTCTATTAAAATTCCCAAGAGAAAACACAACAGCCCCACCTCACCTACAGAGACAGAAGACGACGTACAGGGTACCGCTATCCAGAGACGTAAACGTATTAACGAATATCCTTCCCTTCCGACTAAGAAATCCCCAATGAATACCAGTTCAATGGACATAACACCGCCTATGTCTGTTTCTTCTACTGATTCTGCAAGCCAGCCAAAGCTCTCTCAAATGCAAGCACCTAGCTTAAACGAAAGTAGCAACTCTATTTCAGTCTCACAAGCTGCTTTCTTGGCTGGCAGCAACACTACATCTCCGTCATGTAATGCTACTCTCGGCACGCAGGCACAACCACCCCGTCAGGGGCGTGTTACACCTGTTGTGCTGCGGGATGCGGCAAAGTGGCGCACTGTCAATTATTCTTTTATCAGTCTTGGTATTAAGATTGATGGAGCAGTAGCTGTTGATGCTGGGATACGCATCGTACCTAAAAGCGAAAACGATTATCGGATGATAATTCGTCTTTTCAAAGAGGCAAATGTTCCTCACCATACATTTCCCCTGCCCTCTGAGCGTAACATTCACGCTGTTATTAGAGAAATTCCAGCGTCCACGTAATTCGCTTGAAGCACAGCGTGCCCATGCCTTTGGTGGTGGTGATCCTGCCTAAGACAGAGAACTCACAGCAAGTGTTCAACGAACATCAACTGCTGGGGCTCTCTATCAGAGTTGAGATTGAAAAGAACTCTCGACTCATTGGGCAGTGTCACCGCTGTCAGAAGTATGGACACGTGCAATCGTATTGCACTGCACCTCAAAAGTGTCTCAAATGTGCTCAAGACCACATGACACATCTGTGCCCACAAACAGGACAAGAGGCGCGCAAACGTGCGAACTGTGGAGGGGACCATCTGGCCAACAGTTCTACCAGACGCAGCAAAGGTTGACATTCTAGCTGCCCCGAGCTCATCTTCGACTGCTCAAAACGTAGACCTGGCAACAGCGCTCAGGTCCTTGCAGCAGATGATTAGTCCCCTGATAAGCGCTACACAGGCCTTCCAGGCGATCTTTCCGATAAATGGCTAGGTACAACAGTAGACAGCCTGCATTCATCAAAATTTTTTTCTGGAATTGTTTGGGTCTTAGGGATGTGCTGATAGATTAACTGGACGGGGTGGCGGCTTGGCAGTCCTAGTGGTATTGACTACCATAGAAGCACAAATGCCGAAATGCATTGAGGAGGCTTCCGTGGAGGCCAATTTGACGGGAGGTGTCCCGTTGAAGATCACATCGGTGTGTGTCAGATGTGGTGCCAGGTTGCAAGAGGCGGACCTGGAATGCCTTATGGAGTACTGTGGTCCGCTTATTGTAGCACGGGACTTCAACTGCAAACACAGAGCATGGCATTCTAGGTTGAATTCCACCAGTGGGACTCGACTGTACAACCATGTGATACGAAACGACTACCTCACACAGTACTGAAGAGCCCACGCACCACCCATTCAATCACCTTCAGGCACCAGCTGTCATCGACTTTGCAATATCCAGAAACTGTAGATACAGTATCACTTCTCGAATCATGTATGACATTTCTAGCGATGATCTGCCTGTTGTACTGGAAGTGGGTAATGAGCAAACCTTGGCAGAGGGAACAGGTTGATTGGGAACTAAGTTGTTCCTTAGAAAGTTCCCCAATATCCCGATCATAGATGGTCAGAACAGTATAGATGCGGCTCAAGAGGAGCGGACAAGCTTCGTTCAGCAAGCTCTGCGGCGTGCAGCTGTACTTTCTGTACAACAACACGGCAAACCTTTTCTCCCTGCGGACATTTGTCAGAACATTTCTGACAACAGGGCTACAATTAAGCCAGCGAAAAGGTCTTTTCATCCTGATGACATTCGCAGAGCGACGAATCTTGGTCATGAAGTAAGAAATGCTCTCCATGAAATCCGCAATGAGCAATGGAACGGCTTTCTGGCGGGAATGCTTGACTCAAGTACCCCCGCACATCCACGCGGTCCTGGGGGCATAGACTTCAGGACATAGGACAAGGTCGAGGTTTTCGCTGTTGCTATGAACGACAGTTCTCTTCCAACTATGATCTTGAGAATGACCTCGACGAGGAGCAACAAATTGTAACAACCGTCAGGAGATATTTCAGGTCCAACGCCGTCAGTGATCCCGGCGCCACCATTAGCGATTCTTCCTCAGAAGATTCTTTTTCGGAAGATTCTTCAGCTGATGAGTTGCACATCATCAGCGCCTTCTCCCGAGATCCCGCATTGCACACCAGAAGAGCTTCAAGGTCATATTAAAGACCTCAAGGTGCGTAAAGCGCCTGGGGAGGATCGAATCACTAATAAGGCGCTGAAGCTGACTTATCTCTTGGCTATTATCGATGCCATGCTGAGGACCCAGTACTTTCCATTGGCGTGGAAGACTGCGGAAGTTATAATGATTCCAAAGAAGGTGGGTTCGACATTTCCCCAGGACTATCGTCCTATTAACCTACTGCCCCGCCTAAGCTCGCTACGTCACCTTGCGAATTGCTCGTCAGATCACCATGTGATTCCTGACGTGCAATTTGGTTTTCGGTCTGAGCATAGTACGGAGTTACAGGCGGTTAGGCTTGTGGAGCGAGTAACCAAGGGCTTCACCCTTAACGAAGGTACTGGCATCTTGCTTCTGGATGTCTCGAAGGCATTTGACAAGGTGTGGCACAAGGGCCAGCTCTATAAACTAATTCAAACAGGACTTTCCATTTTGGCTCCTATAACTTTTGAAATCCTTCCTTGAAGGAAGGAAATTTCGGATCAAAATTAATAATGTCTTGTTGAGAGTACGGCCCATCAGAGCCGGCGTCCCTCAGGGTTCGGTTCTAGGGCCAATCCTTTACTCACTTTTCACACATGATGTCCCTTGCCTTAGCGACTGTGAAGTCTATCTATATGCTGATGACACTGCACTGTTGGCCCAGTCGCGTTCCGGGAATCTGGTTCACGACAGGTTACAAAGTGCGGTGGATGAGGTATTGGAATGGGCAGATCGGTGGCTAATCAAAATCAATTTCTCGAAAACGCAGGCTATCTATTGTACTAAAAAACGTAGCGGCGCCCCACCTGTGGTTTCAGTGAATGGAGCTCGCATACCATGGGAAAATTCTGCTCAGTATCTCGGTGTCACTCTTAACAGGGGGCTGACCTGGCAGAATCACACTGAAGCGTTAAAAACTAAATTCCAAATTACGTTTCGGCACCTCTGCCCTATGCTGTGTAGAATCTCAAAATTAAGTTTGGTTAACAAAGTTCGGCTATACAAGATCCAGACCAGCAATCACTTACGCATGTGCAGCATGGTGCTTTCTTGCCAAAACGCATATGCGTAATATCCAGGTCTGCAGAACAGAACCTAGCCAACCATCACTACCTCGACATCCCTTACCTAAGGGACTACATCAAACATCAGGCGCAGTTACGTTATAGTCAAGCGGAATCGCACAGCAACCCTCTGTTGCGTGAGTCAGTAGACTATACAGTCGAGCAAGTTCGCAAGCACACAAGACCGCGGCTCGCACTGTGATAATAATCAAATCGGGCAATTCTAGGTTCAACCAAAGTTACGTTTTTTGCCACACACAAATTTTTGTCTCAACTACTGCCATCCGCCTTTCACTAGTAGTCTAATCGTATTAGACGAAAATACCCCTGGTTTGCGAAATAATAGTAAAGTTTGGTTTATTGCTGCAAGTTGTTCAAAACATGGACGCATAAAATGGGTACACCAATTTTTGCGGGAAAACTTTTTATTCGACAAAGAATGAGAAGACGTGTTTTTTGTGATTCAATCGAAAGTGTTGGTAGGCACGACAAAACTCTTTATATAAGATTTTTAGGTATTTATGAGACCTACAAAATGAGACCAACGTAAAAACATCCGACTAATAGCAAAAAAGTTATGACCGAGAACCGAAGCAAACTGCAGGTTTTGGCACTTGTTGGCAATGCGACCGGTGGTTTCTCGCAGATATTTGAAATTCTTCAAATTCGTAGGATTCATGCTTGTAAATAACTACAGCAAAATTGGCGTAGGTTGGTCAAGTAGCTTTTGAGACGTTCTAATTGTTTATTCCAAATCACCTGTTTTCCGGCCATCACTACTAGTTTGTTGAGTAATATACAGGGTTAGTGCAAAATGCATTTTATAACAAAATACACTAATTTACCTCGCCGATATGAATCGCAAACCATTCCGGAAGATAAATGTTATTTTTATGCAAAAAAGGATGGTTTACGTTTTTTCTTCTAAACAAATTCAAACATTTCGCATTTGTAATTCGCAAAAAAGATGATAGACATATCCGATTTGTTTTAAAATATGTATAGTAACGTATGTTTTCCGAATATTTGTTCAAATACTCACAAATACGAAATGTTTGAAATTGTTTACAAGAAAAAAACGTCTCCTTTGTTTTTCGCATAAATACAACATTTATCTTTCGGAAACATTTGTGATTCATATCGGCAAGGTAAGCACGTGTATTTTGCTATTAAATGCTCTTTGAACGAACCCTGTATATTGCTCAATAAACTAGTAGTGATGACCGGAAAACAGGTGTTTTCTGATAAACTACTTGACCAATATACTCCAATTTTGTTGTTGTTATTTAGAAGTATGAATCCCCTGGATTTAAAAAATTTCAAGTAGTTGCGTGAAATGATCGTCGCATTACCACCAAGTGCCAAAACCTGCATTTTGCCTCGTTTTCGGCCATAACATTTTTGCTATTAGTCAGCTCTTTTTACATGTGGTCTCATTTTGTAGGTCTCATAAATACCTAAAAATCTTGGATGAAAAGTTGTTTCGTTCCTGTCAACACTTCCGATTGAATCACAAAACACGTTTTCTCATTCTTTGTTGTCAAATAAAAAGTTTTAGCGCGTTCATGTTTTAAATACCCTCTTGAACAAGTTGCACCCCGACTTTACAATTATTGCGGGGAAATTTGATAATATGATTAGACTATAGCATAGTTAGTGGGTTGCAGACTCGTCGGATATACTACAGGGTGCCGCAGTAAAACCTATTTTTTTAAAATGGTTACCAGTCAGTCGGTTGGTATCGTAGCGGAGCGCTTGTGGTCTCGTTCAAGAGGCGGGACTATAAAGTTTTATAAAGTCTTGTCCCGACCAAGTTCAGTTCCGCTCGTCCTTCGGAATCGCTTTGATTTAGCCACCTTGGCCCCTGTCCGGACCGGAAATCAATTGATACGTGGGTCGCTATGTTCAGACAAACTACAAGTGTGACACGACGAAAAACTGGAGTTCCTCTACCCATTAGATCACATGAAAACATTGAAGCAGTGAGAGCTGGACTGACTCCAATCCCCGAAAATTGCATCAAAGGCCTTTGCATTCACCTGAAGTCGCATTGTGGTGTGCAATTTCCTCAGCTGGAATTGATCCCAGGTTCTTTGAGGAAAATGAAGTTGCAGTGACAGCAGATTCGAATAGCTATGTAAACACGTTACAGAATTTTTTTATAACGGCAGGATGAGTTGAACTTGGGGATATTTGGTTCCAACAAGACGATGCATGTATTGATGGTTGTTTTGAGGGAACACTTCCCAGAGCACCTCATGTCAATTAGGGATGATTTGCAGTTGACGACCCACTCCCAAATCGGCCCCTTGTAATTGTTTTCCAGAGTTGAAGACCAGGAGGAAGAAATTGCCTACCAACTGCTATGCTGACAAGAGCCATGATAAACGCCAGAAATTGGTTTACTCAGTGTGTATGGAGAATCTGATTTGATCTTCAAAACTATGTTGCTCAAAACTTTAGACATACAAAACAAATAAGAATATCGTGATTCATACCTTTATGGGTTTTATAAAATTTTGCAAAAATGAAGTTATGATGCCCCACCCTGTATATGTTGTTCAGTTTAGGTGAAGACGTGACCGACGGAATATAAGTATGAAGATCACGTTTGACTTTTTCTGTACAAGTTTAGATCTGTTTGACAACTGACTTTGATATGGGTGAATTTGTTGTGCGAGAAGTATATGCTGCCGGCTGACCATGAGACAGAAAGGGTTCGATAAGGTCAGAAAAGCGGATGATATCTCTGTAGCAGAGTGGCATTATCAAAGAGAATATGCAAGCCACTGATAGCTAGTACGCACTATGAATTTTTGCAAAAATCGTGACATAAGGATTCGCCATTTGACATCAACAGCAACAGCATAATAGTCAATAAATTTGTTTACCTAGTGAGTGCATCCGTTTGCTGAATATTATACGCGATTTCCTGTTGTAACATCTGCCTCTTCACATTATCAATTTCTAACCTAGATTTCGCCAATTCTTTCATGATTTCAGTTTTCTGGTTATCTAGTTCTTCCATCATCTTCCTCGTTTTCTCCAGCTCTTGAGTGAGGTTGTTTTTCTCCTGCGGATCAAAATACTTTATCGAACTGCAAAGCATAAATATTCTACAGAGAAAGCATGAAGTACATATACAGGGTGGCTAATATATAACTGACTGATTTAAATTGCGCGCCATTTTTGAAACACGCATTTCAGCAGGTAGTAGCTGTTAAAAGCACACGTGCCCAATTCATCATGGAGCACTACACGATCCCACAACGCGTCCTTATTGTTAAAACGTTTTACTTAAATAATGAGTCGGTTGTTGCAACGATTCGGAAGCTACGACAAGATTTCGTAATGTACCCAGTGTCAACACCAGTTGGTGCGGAAATTTGAACAAACAGGTGAAGTTAAAGGTTTGCCAAGGTCGGGCTGTGTTCGAAATGTCGTACTCCGGAAAATATAGAGAGAGTTCGTGAAAGTGTAGGGGGGGCGCCTTGAGACATCTACCAGACATCGTTCTCAAGAACTGGGTATTCGTCGCACGTCATTATGCACTATTTAAAAAAGACTTGCATTTGCGGACATACAAAATAGTGATCATGAAAATTGCCGACAATAAGGTTATGCAATATTGCAGCTTAATACCCAAAATAACGATTTTTACCGAACTCAAACGAGCGATGAAGCCCACTTCGATATGAATGGATTTTGTTAATAAGCAGAATTGTCATATCTGGGCCGGAGAGAACCCTCGTGTCATCTATTAGCGACCACTACATCCTCGTCGAGTCACAGTTTAGTGCGGTGTTTGGTATGGAGGTGTCATTGGACCTTACTTCTTTGGAGACGCTGCAGGTAATTTTCTTACTGTCACTACCGAGCGCCACGATATGGTGCAAAACTTTGTGGCTTCTCAAATCCAACAATTTAGCTGCAAAATATGTGGTTCCAGCAGGACGGAGCAATTTATCACAAAGATAGGGAAACAATGAATCTTTTGAAAACAATATTTCCGGAACGTTTAATTTCACAATTTGGTGAAGTCAACTAGTCATCAAGGTCACCGGATTTAACGGTTCCTGACTTTTTTATGGGGACTTTTGAAATATGCCAACTAACCAAATACTGCAGAGCAGCTGAAGAACAATATTACGGAAGCAATTGAAAATATTCCCCCCGAAACCTACCAGAAAGTGAAGGAAGATGTAATCAAGAGGACTCAGGTTTGCGCGGCTTCTAGAGGCGGACATTTGACTGATATTATTTTTCCTAAGTTTCAATAAAATATTAAGATGAAAAAAATGGACGTATTTTATTTCATTCCACAAATATTCAAGATAAAAACCAGTCAGTTACATATCGGCCACCATGAATTAATTTGTCTCCAGCTACTGAAAATTCTTCCAACAGACAGGGGACAGCGTAGAATGCATTGTGTTTCACTTCTGGCCCAAGAAAAACCAAGAGGGATCTGCACTAGGCTATCGCCGAGCCCTGTAGAACACCCGTAATGAAGTTGTAGCAAAAGGTTTGAGGATATGTTGGAATACTTACCTGTAATGCATGCATTCTCTCTTTAAGGTGATCCTGCAACCGATCATTGGACTCTGACAGCAACTTGTCAACCGTGGCTGACAACCGTGAGTTGTGATCTTCGTTCATTTTCAGCCTTTGATTCAACCTGATCAGCTCTGCATTCTTCTCGTCCAGGTTTGCTTCCAGCCGTTGTATGCGATCTTCTGCGGAACCGTGACGTTCCTGGGCCTGCAACAGATAACAGCAACGCTTTGGAGATTAGAACAAAGTCATCAGATATTTGACTGAATTAGTATAATGATAGATGCTAGAAATTTAGGACCTTCACGGATTTTACTTAGGGCATTACATACCTTTTATTATGGTAAAATTAATATTTTTAGGCAGCTTAGTTCAAAAAAAGAAAAACTGTCTGTACTATGGTTAACAGCTATTTCCAAAATTAGTGCCGAAATATACGTCTTGAGGAGCACCTCAAATGGTGGCGGATCGCACTGCTTCCGGATAGCTTGACCTATCTGAAAAACTAATTTTACTTTTGGAAAGCAATACCAGTTTTCCGTTTATAAATCATGCAATACCATTTATATGCAAAGAAATAACTGACTGCAAAATTTTCCAAATTTACTGAATATCCACAGCTGAAAGCAGTTGCCTGTAGTCATCAACGGGTTATCGTAAACGGACAGGATTTGATGGAATTGTGGATGAAATGTTGTGGATAGCATTGCACAAGGATGCGAAAAGTTAAGAATTGCGCGAGATGCACCATGATAAAATATATTTGGCACGTTTTTCTTATACTTCACTTGATATTATTGTATGTCTTAACAGTTATATCTACATTGGGATCATCCTTCCTAGAAAATGCATAATGCTCATGATACAAATAAATATAAGTTGCTTTTTGAACCAACATCAAACTATGTGTGCAATCAACATTGTGTTGTAATTATGAAATTCATAATGCAAAAGGTTAGCTAATAGTGACAGTTGGTTGAAAAAACTCTACAGGCAAGTGTTATACATATAGGTGAGAGCAAGCAAAAGTAGTGAATCCGGAAAATGGAATGATATGTGCAAAAAGCTCCAGGCTCACTTTGTCTATACAATGAAAGCAATAGTATATGTATTTTTCAAGTAGTGAAATGATATAGTGTATATGTGCGGAATTGTCTCTATGGATTTAATTTTGTGGCATAATTATTTATGTGATATTGCAGACCAGTTCTGCAATTTATCACATAAATAATAATGTAGTACGGCTGCTTGTCACAAAGTTCTAAAAGTAAGTAACAGCTTGTTTGTTGTTCTAATTCACATCTAGGCTAAAAGTATGATGCTAGATAAGAAACACATAACATATTAAGATACATGCAGAATAGTGGTCATTTCATATTAGTTACTATCATGTGTTCGATATTTTTAATAGACCAAGAATGTCAAGTTGAATTATGTATTGAAATAATATTTGGTGCGAGTAACATGACAACTAAGGTGGGATTTTCTACTCGAGTTAAGAATTTTGAGAGTTAAAAACTTATAACGTGTATACCTTTGATACATCTAAATATTAGAGGAATCATCAGACTATTCTATTTTTGACCATTTTAAAATTATAACATATACAGGGTGTTTAAGATGGAGATATTCTAACCGTAGTTAGGGTCAATCGAGATGTCTGTATATAGCCTGTGGTTGATCAGTCTTTAACCTCTTATAACTGAAATGTCGTTTCTTGTCGTTTCTGGTAATTTCTTCATAGCATAACAACAGTTCAACCACTCAATGAGATTCACTGAGTACAGGTACTAAGTTTCAAGAGAATATACGGGGTAGTTGGAAAGTTGTGAAGCGATAAAGAAATTGCAACAATCGATATATATGTAAAAAAAGGAAGGGTCATGCGGAGAAAGGTATATAACTTTTTTGTAGATCGTTTGGGCTTGAAGTACCACGTCAAGTGGTCATCAAGGATTATCATCAGGAGCTAAAAAGAATATTTGGAAACAGTAACAATAAGTAATTAGGTGAAATATATACTTACTAAGTCGGCAAGATTGTTGCAGAAATTGTTCTTAGACGAAAGTAGACGAGAACACATACACAACGAACAAAAATCTATATTGATGAGGTTCAGTTACGAATTACTTACTGTTGCAATTTCCAAATTTTGTTTTCAGGTCCTGATGATGATGGCATAGATCATCGAAAACTTGAGTTTAAGTTAAAAGAGTCTACTTGTGCAAAACTTTGCCTTGATCCTAAAGAAATTCAAGGATACTTTCTCCTAGCGAGTTAAGGCAACTTAACTATGAGTACTATATATATATATATATATATAGCCTCTTACAACCGAGATACATATATATGTTACGGCTAAAACAAGAAATGCGGAGACGACTAGGTTTATCCGGTTAGAACTAGGTGTAGCCACTGGCAGTTGGTTTGTGACGCTTACATCTAATTACTGACTAGCTGTAGCCGGAATCACGTTGGTTGGATAGAGTTTTAACCAACTGCAAGTAACTACACCCAGTTCTAACCAGCTAAACCGAGTAGTCACCGCATTTCCTGTTTTAGCCGTAACATATAGATGTTGTGTCTCGGTTGTAAGAGGCTAAACACCCATCAAATAATTATATATTATTTATAATCACCACAGTGACTGATAAAAATATCTCACTCTCCAAATGAAACACCCTGTATAAAAATATCAATCTTAACTACCCCAAGGCATATTTCATACACTTTGGTAAAATGTAGCTGGAAGTAAGTAAGCTACAAAATTTAATCGGGTACGCTAATTGCACGATATTATTCATTGTTAACCCTGGATTTTTGTACAATATTATTTTTTCCTGGCTTCTCCCAGAATAAAAAATTAAAGACGACATTCCTATAATGTGAAAATTACAGAAATAGGTATATGATATAATTTGCACTGAGCGACTAAAAGTAGAGCACCCCACCATACTACAGTAACATCTAAAACGAGAATCTTATGACATTTTCTATACATATAGAAAAAATACATCAAAGTGAGCTGAGAGCCTCGTACCTGGGGTCTCACCTGAGTCAGCGCTTCCATCCGCTGCTTCAGCTGCTCTTCAATTTCTGGTAACTTCGAGGCTTGAGTCAGCTTCTGCTCGGTCAACTCCAGCTTCTCTTGGATCGCAGCTATCTTTTCTTCGTGCAGCTAGAAACAAGGAAATGATAAATTGAAGAGAGACGTCATTAATCAGAATTTTTTGCTTGCTTTTTTGCTGGTTTTCTCACATCAGACATTTTCCCAGGCGCTTCTATGAGAGTAAGAAATTGATCCAATGTGATAAAATACGATATATAAAATATTTATTAATATTTATTTATTTATAAATATTAATATTAAGATTATAAAAATTTACCATAGTGCGTTTGCTCATGTACAGCTCAAGTGTTGCCACAGATTTTGGACGCTATATGTAAATGGTATAGATGAGAAAGAATATATTGTAACAGTATTTTTAGACTTCAAAAGGGCATTACAATTAGGCTCATGATTAATGATGAAAACATTGAAATAGTCGAATCTTTATATCAAATATCTTGGTGTATATGTGGATAGTAAACTACTGTTTCACGAGCATTATGAATACATTATTTCAAAAATATCGAAAAATATAAATTACTTCTATAGAGTAATCTTATGTATTCCAAAAAAATTCTGTATAACACAATAATTCTTCCTCGTTTTTTATATTGTTCAACCATCTTGTTTACAGCAAATGAAAACATATTTTCAAAATTACAAATAAATTCTACAAAATAAAGCTATGAGAATCACTTTAAATAAAGACCAATATGCTACGATTAAGTCTATGTTAGAACTGCAGTGGTTCAATGTGAAAAATATCATATATTATTTAGTTCTCGATTTCATATTTAAAAAATTAAAGAATCATTTATCAGCACCACATTTAGAAAACTTCACAAAATTAAATATCCAAAATTTCATATTGTAGAAATATTCATTATTATCATAACTACGAAACTAGAGGCAGAATAGATTTTCATCTGCAAAATTGTAATAGTAGCATAACTAGCAAATCTATATTTCAAAAAGGAGTATTTGAATTTTATAAATTGAATAATGATATTAAACAGTGTTTAAATTTAAAAATGTTTAAGGTGAAAATAAAAAATCACTTTTATGAATAATCAAAATGCATAGTGATGTAATTTTAATAGACAATAATATAAAATTACAGAAAATGGATTAAAGAAAAATATGTAACCAAAACATTATACAAAATTGACATTGTAGCATTAATGCTAAATAAATCTTCAACAACAACAATAACGCCATCATGTTAGTTCATCAGCGAAGTTACCTCGACACAAATCTTTAAATGGTCCTCAATATGTTATACTTTTTTTCTATTAGGGAAAAAGGGCTTACAATACCCTAGCTCCTTAAGCTTTTTTGCTACGTGCATTGACAATTTGTTACCTTAATCTGAGCTTCTTTATGTTGCAGCTCTTGCTCTAACTTCTCATTGAGATCGTGCAACGACGTTGACTCCCTCTGAGCGTTGAGATATCTCTTCTCTAACGTGGCTATCCTCTCTTCCTGATCTTCTTTCTGAGCTACGTTCTCTCTCAAGTCTCGTTGAAGCTTCGAGTTGACGTCCTGAGATTTGAGGAGTTCCTTCTGAGCTTTGGCTAAGTTCTCTTCTAGTTCGCCGACTCGGGTTTGCATCTCGGCCACGCGACGTTGCCACGTACTGATTTCGCTAGTCTTGAGGTGAAAATGACGGGGTAAGAGAAAGAGTTAAGACAAATACGGAATATTAAGGATAACATTTCTTATGAAGCCTTTAAACGGGCAATATTATTATTGCAGTATTTGGCTGCAAGTATGATAACTATAGCATTGCCATCATAACTACATTGCAGAACATGGATCGGTCAAAGAGTAGTTATATCAAGAGAAGACACACAGGGCGAATAAATTAGAAAGACAGAGAGATAAGAGATGTATCCAAAAACATGGCCTCAACGAATGAAACAATCTTTTTTGGTGGCCGATTATACACATTTCACGAAGCGTCTTCTCTTGATATAACGACTCGCTGGCCTGGCTATATATCTCGGCTATATTATGGCAACATTGTACGCAATGTGTAGATACATACACTTTACAGGATTTCTCATCAGAAGTGCTAAAAAATTAGGCATGGATGACGTGTCGCAGGAGCTTACATTACTCATTACATCAAGCAGAAGTCCGAAAGTTCCGCAATCAGATAGCAATATATAAAACTACATCTAAGCCATACTGAACAAGTTTCCGTCTGTTCCTGGCTACTCCATTGCCGCTAGCAAATGCAGTAAAATATTGCCTTCAGAGGGTCTATTATTACAGAGTGATCAATACTAGTTGAAGAATGTGTTCGACTCTTAGTGGGCAAGAGAACGATATAAGCTTTTCCTAGCATTCTACCTACAAAGACGATGGTTGGTATGATTGAAATTTTTCACAGTAAAGTGGTTCAAGACCTGGAGATCTTGTATATCTATGGCCGAACTCCAGCCTGTTCAATATTTCGTGACGTATTCATTCTCTGGGGTGTATCAGCAATGAAGTTAGAAATAATCATTAAGAGGCTTCAAATATTCGAAGCGTTTACATCTGAATCAACTTAATAACTTCTTTTAATTGCAAACCTGTTGTTCTAAGGCCTGTTGTAAATCAGCTATCCTGGCAGCTGCTTCAGCGTCTGAAGTTCCATCGGAGCCCCCCGTACCTCCGTTCGTTAGTCGCGTCTTGATAGCTGTCGCAGATGCTGATGTCTGGTGACAAGTAAAATTAAAACTAAACGAATGAAACATGAACTTCTAAAGTCTTATTATATTTTTATTAAATACGAGTTAATAAATGAGCCATTAAAGCTTTACGGAGAATATCGATTTTTATTATTGCCAGTTATGAATTGAACCTTTGATATGTTAGGTAATCCATAGAAATTTTTTAAAGGATAATATGAGTTTAATTGAATTCATCTGAAGATTATAATTATCACAAATACAAATCATTGCTTGACGCAATTTTTTATTTCGTTTAGCACTTTTTAGTTACCTTATTATTAGCATTAGCTATTTGGTCCCCTGATTCTACTTGTCCATTTTCTTTGGGCTTATCTTCTATGGCAGGTACAGTCGAAATCACCCCTTGTTTGTATTGTTGTAACTGCAATAACAAATAATTCATGAAATAGTTTTCAAATAAGAAAGGAAGGGATGTTCATTTATCAAAACTAGAAAACACCATTTTCTTGCTAAGAAAGGTATATCTAAGTAAAAGGTTTTACTTACCTCTTCTTTGGTTGATGCTAATTCTTCTTCTAATGTTGAATTTCTTTCTAATGCTACCCTCAGTCTTTCTCGTACCTGGGAATAAAATAGGTAAGTTGAGAGAATGACAATCATGAAACTAGGAGATAATGGGAAGCAGTCTCTTGTATTTTTTTAGTCGTAGTTTTAATTAAATTATCGCAGTCAGGGGTGGTAGGGGCTGGATCAGACAAGGTCAAACTTTTCAAGGCAAATGGTAAATAAAACATGAATAGACAAAAAAAATCAAGGGGGTGTATGTGCGATTATTTCGAAATCGTAAATTGTCAACATAACGTAAGAATACAAATTATATTTTATATTTCCAATAAGACGTTTTTGTGGATGAATTTTTTCCTCAATTATTTCTAAGTGGCAGGTTACAAATAATATTAGAAGGAATGACAATTTCCGCCCGAAAAAAAAATTTAAACTTGCTTTGCTTATCTGAAAGATGCACAGCACAGTTTTAGATTTGCAACAAAACATTAAAACGGACGGTTGGTATCCTTCAATTCCAAAGCATCCCAATTCTCAAACTTGAAACATCAGAATTACCTACTTCTTTGCAAATTTTAAGATTAATAAATAAGCAGTCCACTCAAGTATTGGCAAACTTGCCCAGAACGTAACGCTCTAACCCCCGCCCCCATTGTATACGCCACTGGATGGAAACCTTATTCTTTTTCACGAAATCCAAAAAAATTTAAGTAAATTATCGGAAGAGCGTACTTATTTAGTATAATGCATTTTACAGTGACATGCTTGGGTGAAGAATAACTATGGTAAAAGGAAATTTTGCATGAGCGATGAATCTGTTATCGCAAGTGTATCAAAATTACCAATAATTTTTCATGAAAGCGTGTTGTCCAAAAATTGCATGAGTTTATTTTCATATTTTGACAAAAAAGCCCGACTCCGAAGGAAGTTTTTGACTGACAACATGCTTGAATGGAAAATGATCAGGTTTACTTTGATGCAGGAGTGTAATTCGGTAGAATGTTTCCCAAATTTATCATATTTATGCATGTCAAGATGACCAGTGCACATTTCATCAATCGTAACCATAGATACGGACTTACAGGGTAATTTTCGATACCCACTGGGTAATTTTCCTTATTTCTCTCGGCTTTTTGTTGCCACAAGCTGTTCATGCTTCTTGTTAAAATATTACTTAGCAACATGTTTTTTCGATTTTTGTCGGAAAATTTAGATGCCCTTATGATATTACTTATGAAAATTTCCCGTTGTCTAGGTAACGGAAAATTTTCACTGTAATTTTGCGATAATATCACAGTTCTTATGGCATTTTTTATACATGAGGGAAATATTTTGAATAACAAACGCCCGTGAACAAATGTGGTATATATGCAAATCTGACAAAGAGATTGAGTATTGCTGGTGAGACAGCTAGAATACGAGAAAAAGACTAATACTCAAACTGGAAATTATACATTTTTGTGAACGTTCATGAATAACATATAGCACTGAAATAGCGAATAAAATAAACCAGGAATAATCAGAACGATATGTATGTGGAATACAATAACAAAAGTGTATAGATATCATGTCTTATTTTCTAATCATTTTTCCTTTTTGCTTGACGTATCTAATTATAGCATAATATACCTTTTCGTCTAGTGCCTTGTGATGTTCGAAAAGGCTTTTGAGTGCCTTGAGCACCTCCACTTCGCTGGAGACGCCCGATTGTGCGGCAGCTTGACGTTTCACCACGGTCATCCTCAGTGATCGCTCGTGCCGCGACACCAGGCATTCCAAATGTTCTAATAATAACTGTAATAAAATATACAATAGATAAAAATGGAATACCATATACATATTGTTAATAGTACATTATACACCTATTCGATTTTACACCTATTCGATTTACATCACGATCATGACGTTTGTCAGCTTATTTTATAAATAGTTTAAAGTATCTAGTTACCTGGTGTCTAACTGACAGTCTAATAATTGAATGAACCGTTGCTTAACGAATTCTACCTGAAGATAGCCAACCTTAATACTATTTCCCTGTTCATAAAATTATCCAAGATGAAACAAACACAAAACAGAGCTACGTTCCCTGCACTAATTAGAAATCTACTTTGACAAGGTTATATACATATATAGTATAAAAATTAATCCTTATTTCGGGTGGTCACGCCATAACTTGAGAACGACTTTACCGATTTCATTCATCTTTTCTTTTTTAATTTCCTAATGCTGTATAGAAGGTTCTTACGGGAAGAAAAATCACGAAAAATGCGTAGAAAATTGGGAAATCATTGAAAACCTAATGATTATTTAAGCTACGCGCGTTTCACAGCTTGCTTGAGCATGGAGCACACACACAGGAAATATATCAAGTACCAAAAGAGACAGACACTCCTCTCCGCCGTCTTTATTCCAACAGTTAGCGATGTGAAAGGAAATTTCTTATGAAAACCTGGTGTTTTAATTTTTCGACTTACATTTTTTTAACATCCGTACTTTGTGATGACCTCTTCAAAACTGCAGTGTTGCCTAATTGTTATCTTTGCCAGTTAACTCTATGAATAAAAATGGCGGATGAAAATATGTTTATTTTGCTTAATTGACTTTCACATCATTTTGAACTTGACAGCTCGCACGCCGCAACATGGAAGTATTTCATCGTCAGTCGGACCAGAGTCAGTGGTGAGCGGTATTACCAATTTATGGCTCCAGAGCCACAAAATTATTTGCCATCGGTTCTTGGAAAACGTTAACTTTGCCTGCGTGACTACGAGCAATACTTTTTTGACCGACTGTACAAAAATGATTTTTTGGTGCACTACAAGAGTTTCAATTTCCCGCACACGGAATTGGTTAGATCATCATTGAGCCAAATCTTTTACTTTGATAGATCCCATAAAACCTGCTATAGTTTTTGAACTAATGAGCATGGAAATTTTGTTGTACGTGCTTAATCGGACTGTACCATACCAATATAACGTGTAGAAACTAAAACGAAAAGACATCCGAGGACGTCTATCCAGAGATATAGAACTGATTAGACTTTTATGAATCGAGTTTTCAACCCGAACGCTCATTGTGCCAGATCTTACAATTTTTATTTGCTCCTTGCAGGAGGAAGATAAGTTGAAATTGTATTGCTTATTATCAGTTGCCCGCTGTGCCTGCTGCAATGCTCCTAGTCGCTTTTCAGTAATACCTCGCTCTTGACTTTTTGGAGAAGATTTGAGCTTTGGCCCAAGCGGCGTTTTTAATATTCACCGCGATATTATTAAATATTGGATCGTGGGGAAGTTTCGAACTTTTATCATTTTTACTTTGGAACTGATAGAATTGGAATATTTTAGTGGCACCGGTACTTTTTATCTGCTCGTCCACAGACAAGTCTAGTGTTCTTAGCATGATAGGATAGAGGGGCACTGGCGGGATTTGAACCATTATCTCCTCCATTATGTGGCACTCGACCCAACCAATTGAAATTTTTAACAGCCACTTTCAAGGTAAAATACACTACCTATACATCAAATTCATCATCCCAACCTTGACCCGTTCAAAAAATAGGCAGGCAGGCAACTTTTTTGAAAAGTAACGTATACCCGCTAAGATGGTGTCGAGCTTATGGCAGAGTTTTGGTAATCTCATATGCCGCATACGAAAACGTTAACGCTGACATTCAGGTCATAAGAAGTCAATGGATCATAATTTAACCTTAACGTTTATGAACGCCGTTGTGACTGAATGCATACTGCAATCATATTTGACTGCTTACATATTTTGCATATTCAGAAAGTGTTTTTGTCGAAAAGTAATTCAGATTTCACATCTGAAAGTCGTCTCAATAGGATTGAAGAGTCCTGCAACTTGTATCAGATACAAATTGAACTAATAAAAACGTTCCTCTACGGTTTGAAAAATTTATTTAAAAAACAAGCATTATTTTTTTAATTTTGGTTGTAGACTTTGTTTGGTTATAGATTCATTTACCACGTAAAAATAACAAAAATCCTAAAAGCACGTAAAAGGAAAGAGCAATTAAAACAATTCAAAATTTGCTTCAAATACATGATCCATATCCACCTAAAACGTTTTTCGTCTGACTCAAAAATCATTTAATGCATGAAAAACGTACAAGATCAAATCAAGATGTTTATTTAAATGTTGCTCCCATCACAAAAAAAAAGAAAGTTTGTAGATGTTTTCCAATACCCCTTCAATGCACTGTTTGCCATATAATAATATTAATAATAATTTGTAAAAATATCTTATCCTACATCTCCTATCCCTTTTCAGCCGTCTCCTAAGATATAAGTATTTTGAATGTTTATAGAGAAGCAATATTTTTGTTTTTCATTGTTTATATATATATATGTAAGCCAAAGGCACCATATGTCACATGAATTATATAAAATAGAGGTTTCAAATTGACACATTGTCCGAAAATACAAATAGCAGAGATTAACAATACTGAGATTAATAAATGGGTACCAACTCCCAAACAAATAATTTACTATTGCATAAGGTTAATTTTATAATGGTACAAACGGAGATAGACATAACTCTAACTCTATGGTTCAATCACACCGAAGGGTGGATTTACAGATTTAGATGAAGCCCCCTTAGACGATCAAATCTGTCATTTTTATCAAGAAAACGTCTGTATCTGGGTATAAAAATTCATTTACTAGACCATGTTAGACCTGAGTATCAATAGTTTTCGTAAAGATACCTTAGTGTACAAATCATTAATCATTGACTAGACTATTTTATCCTGTAATTATTCCACCAGCCAGCAGTTACCCATACTCTCTATGCGCATTTCAGTTAAACTCTAAATTAATACTGATGCTCCAGCAGAAAGTAGTAAGCATCGCTTCTGTGAGCTTTCTCATTTTATCCTGACTGGCCGCTATTCGCACTTTTAACGTCGTTAGAAGCCAGTAACGTCGGTTAACTTCCTTGATCATTCAACATTTTCAATTCTCCTGCATTAGTGTAAGTACATGTTAATTATGTTGCATATAATGGACATTTTTAATGTTCAAATAATACATAAAATTATAATTTCGCCAGATCGCGATATTTTCTGCACGTGTGAAATAATCTCACTTAAGTATAGGGTATCATGATTTTGGAAACAAAAATTCCTTCTACTCTGGGGCGCCATAAACCGCGTTCAACAGTGCGTCGGGTATGTCACCTAAGAACCGCCTCTCTTAAAATTTGTATACATATACGTTTTGCATATGGAAATAAAACAACACGGTAGGTAGTTTTAAATGACTTTATTGTTTATCGAAGTATTCTCCACGAAGATTGATACACATGTGCATGCGCTCGAACCAATTTTCGAAGCACTTATTCCACTCGTTTGCTGGCAGATCCAAAACGGCATTTTTGAATGCGTCAACTGCTTCTTCTGGTGACTGGAACCTTTGACCACGCAGTCTGTTTTTAATTTTTGGGAAAGTAAAGAAATCGTTAGGACTTAGATCGGGACTATATGGAGGATGGTTCAATAATTCCATGGTTTCTTCCGTTAAATACTGCCTTGTTTTTTGGCCTGTGTGGTATACCAATCCGCAGTAACAGTTCTTTGTTCATTAAGAGGAATTGTTGCAATATGACCCGCTTTTGACACAAATGTCGCGACCATCTTTTTCGAAACACTTCGAGAACGGGTGACTTTTGTTGGCTTTTCTTTACCTTGGAACATCCAAATAGCCGACTGTCGTTTATTTTCTGGTTCATAACAGTAAATCCACAATTCATCACCACTAACAATGCTGTACACATTTTTTAAGTTTCCGGAATTGAAACGGTCAAGCGTTTTTTGACACCAATTAACCCTGGCTGCTTCCTGCTCTTCAGTCAACAGGTGGGGTATCCAACGAGAAACTAATTTTCTTACTCCTAATTCTTCATGTAAAATTTTTTGAATTGAAGTCTTTGAGATCTTCAAGGAAGCCTCACTCTCGTGATATGCCACATGTCTATCTTCAATGATGAGTTTTCCCACAGCATCGACGTTTTCCTGGGTGACTGTCGTTTTTGGTGCACCCACCCTGGGATCGTCGCTAAGACTCACCCGTCCACGTTTGAATTCTCAATACCAACGGGAAATTGTCAACTGATGTGGCGCTTCGTTGCCGAAAACAGACAGTAACTCAGCAAGGCATTCTTATTGCGATAATTGTCTCTGAAAGTAATAAATTATCGCGCGAAAATGTTCTCGGTTGAGTTCAATTTTTCTAATGACTTGGTGACACTTAAACATTCACTGTAGTGAGAACACTGCACGTATTGCTGTGAAACTTTGAATTTAAGTTTACTAAAGAGGGAGGTTAAGATTCAGTGCTGACGTTCGATCCGCGCGGTCTACTATGTTTCTATATGCAAAACTTAAAAGACATCCCTCGTACCTTTGAGCACCAGCACAACAAAAGATCTTCATAAGGTCCGCAAAAGAAGAAAGTATCAACTGCCTTTTTAAAAGTCTTACTACTGACAACAGGTAATATCGTATTTAGGAAAAGGTGTAACGGAGCATTTTTTAAAGTCAAAGACCAGCACGATGTGAAGTTTAAGCACACTGAAATGTCGCATCTGCTTATACAGGGTGTTCCATCCGTTCCTTCTTTTTTTAATCTATGAAACACTTTTTATGAGTGAGAAACCGAAATCTTTGTTGAAAATTGTAGGTCGGTCTTTGCCATTTGTGTATGGAATATAACATCGCATATATGTATGTCCACCGGGGCTCCGTTGACATGCCATCATCAAAATTTTCGATGCCTTAAGGTCTTGA